TCCAGGGTGACTTTCCCAAGTCTGGAAGGAAGGAGGTGACCCAAGGGTCAGATCCTACAATGACAGCCACTGGGTGTCTAGGCTCTGTTGGGTCTGAGGAGAATTTGTTTCTAGATGCATGCTATGAATTGAAGGTTAGACTGCGAGTATCACACACAGGAAAACACCATAAAATTTTTTTAAAAACAATTTTAAGTTAAATTCTTGCAAATGTAATTCAGTTTTCTTCCTCCAGAGGAAATCTTTTTGTGGTACGTTAGTAATGTGTAAAACTAAGGGAAAGTGTTAGTTGCCGTGGGTGATGCAGAGTGGCTCTACCTCTGCACGTATCCCGGAGTGTTTCTGATGCGCCCTCTGTGTTCCACCCTCAAGAAACTGCAGGTTTGCTTCTGGAGTAGACTTGGTTATCTCCTTGGGTCTCGGCTTTCTTTGCCATGCCTTCTTCGCTGGCTCCTGCCTGCCTTGCTAGATTGAACTTGGGGATCAGCGTTTCCAGGACGTTTGTGTTGACACGTTTGTCTTTCCTTCTGCTCTCAGTTAAATGGCTGAGTGTTCTCATGCATGGTGCAACAGAAGGATACAGGGCTCTGCCCCTGTGTTTGTTGTGAGGTTTTGTTGAAAGGAGTGAAGTTTGGGCCTGGGTCCTTTATTTCTAGTGTTTAGCTCACTCCACGGCAGAGAGTAGGTACTCAGAAACCACTTTTTGAATGCTCCAATGTGTGGATCTCTGGAGAAATGAATGGACTCTTTTTTTTTTTTTTTAGCTCTATAATATTGATACTTGTCTACAGATCTATTGAGTGATATTTTGTTATTTTAATGCAAGTTACATGCCCCTTTGTTAATATTTTAGATTTGTCCACAGAAAAAATAGATTGAGAGGTTTTAAAAGATACATATGTATGTGTGCTTAATCTTTCATGATCAGATATTGAAGTGATTTGTGAGTAATGTAATTGATATTTCCAACACGGAATAAAAGAGGTAAAGGTGGATAGTTACAAATTGTGAGGGAATTCACTAACATTGCCCTTAGAATACAAAGCCTGTGATACTTCAGAATCCTCCTGTATCTTCGTAGTTGTATGTGCTGTGTGTTCTTTAAATCGTCAGCTAACAAGGACAGCATTGAACGTCTCCTTGGTTTTCCCATCATGGCCCTGGGCTAGTAACTATAGCAGGCTATACTGAGTCTCTTCTCAGCTTTTTAGAAAAACCTTTTTTTCCTTCAGAATAAACAATAAATAATCCTGTTGGGTGTTAGGAATAAAAAGAAAGCTTATGTGTATAATGAAAGAACACACCTACCCAGCAGTTAAAAAAAATAACAGCTAGGTCATTGATGCAACATAATTTTTGAACATCATTCTCTTGATTGTTTTAATGTAATTAAATGTGACAGTTAGCCTGCCCAAAATTTAGAGTTATGTGCTATACTTCTAACTCTTGGTATTCTGTCCCAGCTGTATTTGAACAGAACTACTGTAGTATTAGCCAAATTCACCCTTGGTGCTAGCCCCCTGAAAAGACCAAACGTACCTTTTTAAGCACTATATTTATACTTAACACTTGTGAATAGAATTCAGTGTTCTCGTTCCTGGTCATTCTGAAGGAATCATATTAAAATAATTTAGGACACTTTTACTAAGTATATTAGTGTAACACTTATTCTAAAATGCTCCTTTGTTACAGAATTTTACCTGCAATGGTAATGTAACAGTGCCTTGTCTTTTAAACCACTATATGACTTTCTAAATATCTCTATATGCAGAATTTATTTGTTTTTCACAATAATTCTATGAGTGTATCCTAGTCTTATAAATAAGAAAATTTACATGCAGATGGGTTAACCTTACCAAAGGTGTGCAGCATTCTTGTGTAATACATTATTGTTACTTCAGTAGTTAACACTGAATGCTTAGTTTATGCGCTTAGGGTCTTGAGTTTTTATGTGCGTTAATCACTTCATTGCACTGATGCCTCATTTACTTCATAAGAGCTTGGACTTTGGAATCAGGTAGTCTATCAGGTATTGACCTTGGGAAATGTGATTATTTTAGCCTTTTTAAGCCTCAGCTTTGTCACTTCAAGGATGAGAAAAATGACAACACCTGTTTACAGGACGAGTCCTTGGATCAAATTAGATCATCCAAATGCCTGCCTTCTGGCAATATGGTATGGGCTTTAAAATCAGCTTGTTATATCAAAATAGGGTGCTAGTAGCTAGTTCTTAGTGTACCTTTAGCTTCCACATAATTTTCCTGGTAAAATCATTTTATCTTTTTGACTAACAGTCATAGCTGATGCTATTTTCTTTTATAAAATTTGTTTATCTGTATTTGAAAGGTAGATTTACAGAAAGAAGAGACAGAGAAAAGAGATCATCACCTGCTGGTTCACTCCCCACAGAGTCATAACAGTTGGAGCTGAGCCAATCCAAAGCCAGGAGCCAGGAGCCAGCAATTTTCCCTGAGTTTTCCACATGGGCTCTGGGGTCCAAGTTCTTGAGCCATCCTCCTTTGCTTTCCCAGGCAGAGAGCTGGATCAAAACCGGTACAGCCAGGACACAAACTGGCACCCATATGGGATGCCAGTGCTACAGTCAGAGGATTAGCTTGCTACACCACTGAACTAGCTGATGCTCTTGTCTATAACAGCATTACAAAAAAAAGTATACATGTAACAAAAATAAGATTATACGTCCATATAATGTCTATAATACATCTTACTTGTCACTAGTTCAGTTATCTTTCACTTTTCAGTTGTCCTTCGGTTGAAGAGAAACCAAAGTGAGTTAAAGAGTTATAGAGAGGGACTGGCATTGTGGTATTATCAGGTAAAGCTACCACCTTCCGCACTGGCATCCCCTATGGGCACTGGGTTGAGTCTGTGCTACCCCACCTTTGATGCTTCTCCTCGGCGGTGCACCTGGGAGAGCAAACAAAGGATGGCTCAGGTTCCTGGGTCCTTGCACCCCGTGGGAAACCCAGAAGAAGCTCCTGACTTCAGCTTGGCTCAGTGAACTCGCTGCTGGAGAACCTCTGTCTCTCCTCTCTCTGACTTTCAAATAGATAAGTAAATCTTAACAACAACAAAAAAAAAAGCGGCGAGGGGTGGGGGGGAAGAGGTATGGAGAATATGTGAGGCATCAGTATCCCAAAGTTGAAAGTGGGACAGACATGGTTCGTTGGGTTCTTTTCATCCAGGAGGGCTTTGACAGTCTGTCATTTAGCACTTAAAGCGTGTTTTCTGATGGAAAGTACTTGGCATGTTGGATAATTACACTGAAAAAGAGTAAAAAGCCAGCAAAAACTCTACAATACATTATCAAACTCAGTGATGGACTGAAGAAGTGTCAGTCCTCACAAAGAGATCATAGTAACATTTCCACAGCTTCAAATGGCAACTTTTTAGTAGTTTAAAGAGCTTTATATGTTGGCACAATGATTTTTTTCATATGTTTAAAGTTATCACTAAACGATTTGTAAATCAGTCTCATTTTATTTGCTAAACTTGGTTCAGGGTGGGAGTGGGAAAAGCTTATATGTAGAGTGCACAAAGATTTTCTTGAATTGATTGGTTCAAGTCTCTTAGAAAAGAAAAATCGGAAAATGTCATATATATTCACAGAAAATAAGTGGTTTGTGGTAGAATTAACTCAGCTCTGGGCAATTGTATAAGTCAAGGACAAAGTGTGAGAATGTTGAGCTTCCAGAGCAAAAAAGGGGACACCAAAGATGAGACATTAGCTTGCTGCCTTTTTTTTTTTTAAGATTTATTTAATTTGATTGGAAAGTCAGAGATACAGAGGGGAGGAGAGACAGAGAGGAAGATCTTCCCGTGGATAATTCACTCCCCAAGTGGCCACAATGGCCAGAGCTGAGTCGACCCAAATCTAGGAACAGGAGCCTCCTCCGGGTCTCCCATGCAGGTGCAGGGTCCCAAGACTTTGGACCGTCTCCCCAACTGCTTTCCCAGGCCACAAGCAGGGAGGTGGATGGGAAGAGGGGACTGCCGGGATTAGAACTGGTACCCATATGGGATCCTGGCGTGTGTAAGGCAAGGACTTTAGGCACTAAGCTACCACGCTGAGTGCCTTGCTGCCTATCTTAAGGGAGCAGAAGCAAATGCCTAGCATGCTGGTTTTATACAGAGGGCATTGGAAACAAGAGCTGAAATTGTTGATTGTGTATGTGTACATGTGGTTAGGTTTAGAAATGCTCATTTTGGATATCTATCATGTTAACTCTAGTTAATATGTAAGTTTAAATGAAACCATTTCTGTAGTCTTTAACATAATGCCACATGCATTATAGCGTAGGTATTCACCAAGTACTAGTGCTCCTATTGGAGTTTCTTTTTTTCTCAATATATAAAAACATGAAAAAAATTAGCTAGAAAAACTTCAAAAGTAGATTGCATCCTGACTAATATATCACTGCAGCATCACTGTGATGACTTTGGCCTGCTTGTTCCTACTCTTTTTTTTTTTAATTGACCTACTTCTTTGCATTGGTTCTGGGGATGCTTGTGGAATAGCATGACACAGAGAGTGAATTCTAAAGAGAAACAGCTCTAAGGGAGGAATAACAGTGAAGTTTAGGAAGTCACCAGGGCCGGAGAATTCATCTGTCACTGGCTAAACTGGGGTTTTAGAGCTGAAAAGAACCTTGGAGTTGGTTTCATCCGACCCCTCATTTCACAGCTGGGGAGATAAGTATAGAGAAATGACTTGTGCATTGTCGAAGCTGGAGTAGAGAAGCCAGAACTTTTATAGAACTTAGACTATTGCATTTTTACTTTTTTTTTTGCAAAGAAGTAATTAATCATATGTATCAGTGTTTTTGTTTTGTTTTTTTTTAATCAAGTTTTTTAGGCTTTTGAGTTTGTGTAAATCAGGTAATTGAATTAACCGGGCTGCTGAAAATGTCATCAGAAACATTATTACACTAAAAAAAAAAAGAAGAAATTATCAACTTTTTTTTCTGTTCTATTTCTAGGTTAAGTCAGCAAACAAAGAAAACATGGTATTTTGAAGTATGATTCAACTCCTAATGCTGCAACAGAGGCTAAGAATATTAATGGCCAGATCTAGGTAAGTTGACATCTTTTAAAAATGCACAAATTGAAAACGGTATCAGTTAATTGAAAATATTCAGTAAACTTTTTCTTTGCCTAAACCAAAGCTACTTTTTGTTTCTTGAGTGCAGCTAAGTGACTTTTATGTGTTGCTGTGTCATGCGATCCCATGAAACATGAAACATGGGATCGCATGACTTACCCTCGGATGGTGCAGTGTTAATGCATATTATTAAATCTCATGTAAGTCAGGTGTGATCTCTAAATATTAGGCTGATAGTCATAAACAGAGACTACCTAGTGTCTAGCCTACTTCCTTGCAGAGGAGCTTGCAGGTAAAGGTGTGGGTGAAAACTCCCCACTGAAAATATCTCCTGGGCTGAGTGCTTGGACAGCAGTTAAAATGTCTCTGGGGATGCCAACTTCCAGATCAAAGGGCTTGGGTTTAAGTCCTTGCTCCACTTCCATTCCTGGCTTCTTGCTAATGTATAGCCTGGGAGGCTCCATAGCATGCCTGAAGGAGCTGGGTTCCTATAACCTCCTTGGGAGATCTGGATTGATTGGTCTGACTCACCCCCGGCTATTATGTCACTTTCTCTCTGACTTTCAAATAAATAAGGAAATATGGGCACGTCGCAGTAGTCTAGTGGCTAAAGTCCTCACATTGAGCACACCGGGATCCCATATGGGTACCGGTTCTAATCCCTGTGGCCCAAATTCCCATCCAGCTCCCTGCTTGTGGCCCGGGAAAGCAGTCGAGGATGGCCCAAAGCCTAGGGATCCTGCACCCACATGAAAGACCCAGAAGAGGCTCCTGGTTCCTGGCTTAGGATTGGCTCAGCTCCAGCCATTGCGGCTGTTTGGAGAGTAAATCATCGGACAGAAGATCTTCCTCTCTGCTTCTCTTCCTCCTGTATATCTGACTTTGTAGTAAAAATAAATAAATAAGGAAATATTCTTTGATGGGGGCTAGCACAGTGGCACCAAAGACTAGTCCTTCGCTATGTGGTGCCAGCATCCTATATGTCCTATATGTTCATGTCCCAGCTGTTCCACTTCCCATCCAGCTTCCTGCTTATGAGGTGGAAAGGCAGTGGAGAATGGCCCTAGTCCTGGGGACCCTGCATCCACACAGGAATCCTGGAAGAAGCCCGACTCCTAGCTTTGGATTGATTCAGCTCTGGCCATTGTGGCAATTTGGGGAGGGAACCAGTGGATGGAAGACTTTGTTTCTGTAAAACCTGCCTTCCAGAAAAAAAAAAAAATTTTTGTTTTAATGAATTTTTTTTTTGGAAGTCTCTTTCAGAGTTGGAAGATTGAATTCCCTGCTTTTCACCTGTTTCAGCCCCGACTTGAGCTAAGCTCCACACTTTTTTGCCTGTATTGCTAATTCTGTTAACACTCTTCTTTCTTTCCTGACTGGATCTAATGATTATGAAACCCTGGTGTCGCCAGCATCCTTTCATCTCCTTATCCTCTGACCCTGAGCTGTGCACCATCTGGACTGCTGAGCACTACTGGCAGAATACCACAGGCTGGCTCTGCAGCCTCCGTCGACTCTCATCTCAGCCTGCTTACTCACCCTGCTGTCTTTTCCTGGGTAGTGCCTTGATGCCTGGTGCGCATGCTCCTCAAGTCCCTCATACTGCAAGCTTTGCCTTCTGTGTACGAAGGACATGTTAGACGGTAGGTCTGCTCTACTTCACTTGCTCTGTTCCTACCCCAGAGGACAAGACAGTCCTCCCTTTCTCCTTGAGCCGTTAACTAGCTCTCTCTCTCTCTCTCTTTTTTTTTTTTCCTGTATTTTTAATGTTTTCTGACCTAATAATAGAATTGCTTGAATTTTTACTTTATTAAAATAATAAATTCACGGCATTTTTGAGATTTATTTTTATTTGAAAGGCAGGTTTACCAAAAGAAGGAGAGAGAGTGAGAAAGATCTTTCATCCACTGGTTCAGTCCTCAAACAGCCTCAGCAGCTGGAGCTGAGCTGATTTGAAGCTAGAAACCAAGAGTTTCTTCCAGTCTCCCACATGGGTTCAGGATCCTAAGGACTTGAACCATCTTTTATTGCCTTCCCAGGCAATAAACAGGAGATGAATTGGGAATGGAGCAACCAGGACACAAACTTGTGCCCATATGGGATCTTGGCGCTTGCAGGTGGAGGATTAGCCTGTTGAGCTGCTGTGCCGGCCCTGTCATATTTCTTTTTTAAAAAAAATGATTTATTTGAAAGCAGAATAACAGGGGGAGAAATGAAAGAGAGAGTGAATGAGAAAATGAAAAGTGAGCACGCTTGCATTCACTGCTTCACTCCCTAGAAGGTTGCAGCAGTCAGGCCTGGGCCAGGCTACAGCTCCATCCAGATCTCCCCTGTACTGGGCCATCTTCCACTACTCTCCTAGGTACATTAGCAGGGAATTGAATTGGAAGTGGAGCAGTTGGAACTCAAACCAAAACCTACCTGGGATGCTGGTGCTGCAACCAGTGGATTAACCCATTTCATCACAGTGTTGGCTTTGGCATATTTTATTTTAAACTCTGACGTGTTCACACCTTTGCTCCATTCTTTGTCAGCCAGTAATTCAACGGACAGTTCTTATCTTTGGGAGACAGCTTTCTTATTGCAGCTTGCCACCCTTCTCCACTATCCCACGTCGGTGATGCCCTCTTTGCTTTGAGTGTTTCGATTCTTCCCACCCATTTCATCGGCTTCTCCCTATTCCTATACTTAAATACATTACTATGTCTCCTAACATTTCAACCACAGGCCTTTTTCTCATGTTGTCCCTGAGTAGTGTCATGTTTTGTAGCCTCAGATGCTCTGTGTTTTCTGCTAGCTTTTGTCTTCCCTCAGGCCCATACTCACATACTCAAATCTGTCGCATATCTCACTTGGCTGGTTTCTAGAATCTCAGCTCAGCACAACTAAAACTGAACTGATCATCCTCACTTAGCTTTATGACTGCCAATCCTTCGACATTCACCCTTTGCCTGTCGTGATTGTAAGCTGTCTTTTCTTCCCTTTTGCCAAGAAAACCACTTGCTATCGCTAACTTTTCTTCCAAGATTGTTCTTAAATAAATTCATATATTCTTTATTTGTACTATTGGTGTTCTGACTTTAAGTCTTTATCATTTTTCATTTTTAAGAAGTTCCAAAGTGATTTCTTTTCTCTGAGTTAAATTTCTGGTTAAATTTTTCCTGCTGATGAAAGCTAAGATCTGACTGTCTCGGGCCTGCTGCGATAGCTTAGCGGTTAAAGTCCTTACCTTGAGCATGCCAGGATCCCATATGGGCACCGGTTCTAATCCCAGTGACTCCACTTCCCATCCAACTCCCTGCCTGTGGCCTGGGAAAGCAGTCAAGGTCAGCCCAAAGCCTTGGGACCCTGCTCCCGTATGGGAGACCTGAAAGAAGCTCCCGGCTCCTGGTTCCTGGCTCTTGGCTTCAGATGGGGTCACTTGGGGAGTGAATCATGGACGCAAGTTCTTCCTCTCTGTCTCTCCTCATCTCTGTATATCTGACTTTCCAACAAAAATAAAAATAAATCTTAAAAAAAAAATCTGACTATCTCACTTTCCTGCATAAATGATATTAGTGGATTTTTAGCATGGCATGGGAGTCAAGGCTTCTGTGCCATCTATCATACGTTTTATTAGTTACTGTTATCATTGAAGGGCATTTTGGATGTAGTGTGTTATCAGCTAGGCCATACTGTCTCTCTCACACGTGCCAATGTGGGAAGCTCTGCTTGACAAATCATCAAGAAAGGCGGCAAGAAGGAACTTTTGCTGCTCTGTTTAAGAAATAGTGAGAGTTGGGGCCCGGCGCGGTGGCGCAAGTGGTTAAGTCCTCGCCTTGCACGCCCGGGATCCCATGTGGGCGCCGGTTCTAATCCCGGCAGCCCCGCTTCCCTTCCAGCTCCCTGCTTGTGGCCCGGGAAGCAGTTGAGGACGGCCCAAAGCCTTGGGACCCTTCATCCATGTGGGAGACTCGGGGGGAAGCTCCCGGCTCCTGGCTTCTCATGGGCTCAGCTTCGGCCATTGCAGCCGCTTGGGGAGTGAACCAGCAGACAGAGATCTTTGTCTCTTTCTCTCTTGTCTGTAAATCTGACTTTCCAATAAAAATAAATAATTCTTAAAAAAAAGAGAGAGAGAGAGAAAGAAAAAGAAGAGAAGAGAACAGCCAGGACTTACTCTCATGGGATGCCAGAATTGCAGATGGTGACTTAAACTAAGAAATAGTTCTGAAATATTTCTTAGCGGGACCAGTGTTGTGTAGCAAGTGAATCCATCACCTATAGCTGCAGTGTCCCTGTTGGCGTTAGTGTGAGTCCTGGTACAATCCAGCTGCCTGATAACGCACCTGGGAAAGCAGCAGAAAATTACCTAAGTTCACAGACCCCATAAACCTAAGTAGAAATTGAGATGAAACTTCTGGCTTTGGCGTGGCCCAGCCCTGGCTGTTATGGCCATCTGGGAGTGAGCTATTAGATGAAGCATTTCTCTGTAATTCTTGCTTTTCAAATAAATGAAGGAATATTAAATAAATTAAATGCAACTGTTTGCCTTTTTTAAAAAAAAAGTGTTTTTTGGTTTTTTTTTTTTAGGCAGAAACCATAATATAGTATCTTTACCTCTCCATATTTATAAAGGAGTAGATGTAAGGGCGGGGAATCAATGTGCAATTTTAAGAAGCCTTTTAAAAAATGTTTATCAAGTGTCCCTTTAATTTTTTTTAAATTTATTTATTTATTGGAAAGTCAGATATACAGAGAGGAGGAGAGACAGAGAGGAAGATCTTCCATCCAATGATTCCTCTGCCTGCAAGCAGTGGCATCCCATTTGGGTGCTTCTTCTTGTCCCAGCTGTTCCACTTCAGATCTGGCTCCCTGCTTATGGCATGGGAGGCAGGCTGGCTTGTATTTGGGAAATCCGTTGTCCAGAATGCATTAGGGTGTGGCCCCACTGTGTGTCACTTGTACCAAGTGCAATGTGACCTGTTGAGACTTTGTCTGCTTGTGCTTTTCTCTTTCTGAAGCACCTATTTCTGCTTTTTGCGTAGTGTATTTTTTTCTACACACCGTTTTAAAGTGCTCCTGCTCTGCCTAACCCGGCAAGGCATTTGCTGCCTTCTATGCTAACAATCATTTTCTCATATTCTAGTACATAGTTTATTATAGTGCATTATCTGTTTATATCTGCTTCTCCCCTTAAATGCATGTATAATGACTTAATCATCTTTGTTCCACGATGCATGCCTTATTAGTTAGAGCCAAATGCCAGATGTCCAGAATCTTCATTGGCACTAGTGTTTTACTTATTTCTTTTATTTTACAGACTGGTGTATTTTTTAAAATCTTAATGGTTAAACTGGCCAGGCATTTTTCACCTTTTGCTGGTATAGACCAGGCAATCCACAATGAGGCTAGAGCACTGTTCTGTGCTTAGGATTGTGTCAGGCCGTAGGCAGTAGGTCCAGGCCTGCTGGGGAAGCACACACAGTGGTGTGAGAAGGATGCATAAACAGACAAGTAATCACAGTTTCTGCTCAGTGTGATGTGTGCTACACAGTGTGGTCTGGGAAGCTCAGGGTGGTTTGTGCGGAGGCTACAGCAGATGTATCACCCCTAGTGGATTGGAGTGATGGAAGGCTTCCTCAAGGTGTCGCACTGATTTTTAGGAAGCCAAGGAAGGTGGACAGCAGATAGAAGTGCGTGAGGGAACCCTGTGCTTTAGGAATCTGCAGTCTGTACTGGCTGACTGCACTTGAGGATGGGTCTGAGGCATAGCAGGGGTACAGACTGACCTAATGTCATGCCAAGAGAAAAAGGTTTTTATCTTAAAAGCAGTAGAGAGCCACTTCCAAATTTTAAGCAAGTTTGAATTGTATTCATGTTTATAATGTTTTGTAGCTTTTGTGCTCAATCCCTTGCCTTTGTCAGATATTGTCACATTCATTTTGACTTCTTTCCCTTATATTCATTTTTTTTTTATTGTTGCTTACATTGTATTATGTAGTACAGTTTTATAGGCGCTGGGGATTCCCCCCACCCCTCCTTATATTCATTTTGAATGTTCTTGAACATTTAATGTCACCTTCATAACCCTTTATCTCCCACTTTCTGTGGGAAAGAAGATTAAATAGAAATGCCAGAATGTTTTTGCCAATATTTTTACATTCCTGCTTAAGTTTCTTTTGATGTTTTTGTCTTATTTGCCAATTTAAAGATTACTCATTTGAAAGAGCGAGAGAAAGAGAAATCTTCTGTCTCGTGGCACATTCCTCACTAGCTTGTGACAGTCGAAGCCGGGCCAGGCAGAAGCCAGGACTTCACCCTGGTCCCCACATGGATTGCAGGGATGCAGAAGGACTCGTGCCCTGTTTGCTGCCTTCCCGGGCAGAGTTACCAGGGCCCAAAGCAGCACTCCAATGCGGGATGCATGCATTGCATGTGGGGACTTGATTTGCTATAGCACAGTGTCTACCCTTACCAATGGTTTATACCTTGTGGGGTACATAAAAGATGCTACAATGGGTAACAGAATATTTTAAAAAAAGAAAAAGAAAAGAAAAAAGCTCTTAATGTCGGTGTCTGGCATCTCTGTGTCAACTTTTTTAAGAGATCTGAAATTCCTGAAAAGCCTTTAAGGTTTAATCCCATGATTGACTCTTATTTAAAGAAGCATAGATTTACTTTTAATTGATCTCAAACGTGAGACCTTAAATTGGTTTGTGTTTTAGGTAACAGAAGGTTCGGTAGACTCTTGTAAGTTACGATGAAAATTTCAGATTTCTATAATGCCTTCTTCACAGAATTTATTCTCTTATCCCTGAGTGAAACTGACCGACTGACTAGAGGTGAAATCTAGCTTCAGCTATATTCCTTGTTCGGGCTACATTTTCTGGATTAGAACAGTGCTTTGTTAGGTGATGTTTGCAGTTCTTTTCCATACTTTCTGAATCTACATTTAATATTTTATTCCAATTATTTTTTTATGTAGTGCTCACATGGTCTTCTGAAGAAGCCATGGGTAGCTGCTGTAGCTGTCCAGATAAAGACACTGTCCCAGATAACCATCGGAACAAGTTTAAGGTCAGTATAACTGATTGAGTTGCATATCTTAGTGCCTAGTTTAATTTGTTTCTGTCTTCACCTGGTACATTTTTTTCTTCCTTCCTGCTCTCTCCAGATCCACTTTTCAATCTGCCTTTTCTTGTTTTAATAAATGGTGACAGTATTGCCTTTCTAATAGTTTGGAGTTTTTTATTTTCCCTTGGCTCCTCCTTGTTGAACTAGCTGCAGTTCATTGTTACTCTCTTTGACATGCCATTTTACAGCTGCTCATCACGGCGTTTCAGTCATGATCTCCAGGTATAGTGACTTCCTAACTGGACTTCACCTCCAGTTGCTCTGTGATCCACCCCGAAGTTGCCATAAAATTAATTACCTTCTTTCATCCTTCACTGACTTATTTGCTAGCACTTCTTTAGTGTGCTGTTACCGTCAGCTCAATCCTGCAGACGTAATCTGAGTCTGCTCTGAATTGCAGCCTATGCGGACACAAACTTACCTGTAACTCACTCCATTCATCCTAGCTTTGCAACCTTAGGCAGGTTATATTGTCACTAAAATTAATTCCATTGTTACTTAACACTAGACCTACAGTCTAGGGTTGTCAAAAGGATTAAATGAAGGAAGCATATATGTAAAGTGCTTTACTCAGTCCCAGGGGAGTAGTTACTTCTCCATAAATGTTATCTATTGTCCTTAGGTCTTGTTTGGGCATTGTTGTTTTCCAGAAGTTCAGCAGGATAAGAGCTTTCTTACATGGACTCTGCTGATCTTATTCTGGTCTTTCTGAACAGTACCTTCTCAATTCTGTTTTAACATTACATCTGTGTCATACATCCCATAATTTTCTAACTCACCAGGTTTCACCTGATTTCATTTCCTATAGAAGTTAAGTCATGCCCCACTTAGTGAAATTCTCACCTGAGATGATGTCTGCAACATTGTGCTACATTTCTAGAAGTTTGATAAAGTATTTGTGTGACTGTCCCCTTCTTTTTCAGGTTATTAATGTGGATGATGATGGCAATGAGTTAGGCTCTGGCATAATGGAACTTACCGACACGGAACTGATCTTATATACTCGCAAGCGGGACTCGGTCAAATGGCACTACCTCTGCCTGCGACGCTATGGCTATGACTCCAATCTTTTTTCTTTTGAAAGTGGTCGAAGGTGTCAAACTGGACAAGGTAGGCTGATCTAGCCTTCGTTTTATCCAAATATTATCATATTTGAAATGTGCTTTCAGTTATTCTATATACTAGTATAGCATTTGAAAAAAAAATTCCTAATATACAAAAAAGTTCCTAAAGTAAATGGATTGTTTAGAAAATATATAGTAAACCTTGCGATCATTTATTGGGCACAGTTTTTGTGAGAAAATTTGACTTATTTTAACTAAAATTTTCAATTAATGATTAGTCCCACTGAACTGACCAAGTGTCATCATTCTAACTCACTGGGGCCAGAACTTTAACTTCTGAGTCAGACAGAATATGTTTTGAATTTGTTTGTTTGTTTGCTACCTGTTGCTTTAATGGCCTTGGAAAAATCACATAACCTCTGTTGAATTTTAGAAAAAGAGCAAGGGGCTTGTTAAATGGTCACCTTGATCACAGAGACTTGGGCTCCCCCTGCTGTTGAAATAAGGAATATGATTAATTTGTTATGTATTTAACTTTCTTGCTATTGGTATATAGAACATTTACTTTGTAATGTTGTTCTTTTGATAAGTGTTCCTATGGTTTTTTGAAAGACATGGGTACTATTTTTCCTTTTTGGTTTATATTTGTAGGAATCTTTGCTTTTAAGTGTGCCCGTGCAGAAGAGTTGTTTAACATGTTGCAAGAGATTATGCAAAATAATAGTATAAATGTGGTGGAAGAACCAGTTGTAGAAAGAAATAATCATCAGACAGAGTTGGAAGTCCCCAGAACACCTCGAACACCTACAAGTAAGTGCTGTTCTCCCTCTCAGGTCCTGAGTAACAGACATTATATCCTGAAGAGTACCCACACTTCATCTGACGCACACTGGAAATCACCATTGCTTACCAAAAGCGCAATGGCTGTCAGTTTTTAAGAACCATTAGCTATAGTTGTAAATGTTTTTAAGTAAAAATATGAAGTATTCCATTCTACCCCTGCTGGTGGCATTTGCCCAGATTTCTGCTGGGTCTTGTCAGACGCACCTTCCTTCGTGGTCAGTACAGATTGGATTCTCATGTGTCTTTATTTTCTCCATCTTCCCTCCACATCCTGTCTTGTCTTTACACAAATGACTCGAACCCCAGCGCCAGGATTTGCCACTCAGAACTTACCGAACGGCTATCCCCGGTACCCCTCGTTTGGAGATGCTTCCTCCCATCCTTCGAGCAGACATCCTTCTGTGGGGAGTGCTCGCCTGCCCTCAGTGGGGGAAGAGTCCACACATCCTCTGCTTGTGGCTGAGGAGCAAGTAAGTGCGCACCGCTGTTTGACAGCGGTAAAGGCTGTGTAGAATTCAGGGGTTGCTGTGCCGATGCATAAAGATTTTATCAGATTTTAATGTTAATGCTCATTGTTAATAAATTACTTCTGCAGTGGATAGTCAGGAAAATAGCAAGTGTTCGCTAGGATATGCTTAAATTTGTACAGGCGCTCAGGGAAACAGAATTACAGTAATTGGTGGATTCATAAGAAAGGTGCATCTGTAGAACAAGAAAGACCATTAATAGTGAGCTCCCATTACCGATAGTAACTTGCAATGGGTTAGAAATGTATGCTGCTGTGCGTAGGCTGTATTATCAGTGAATTACGAGTAGAAAGGGTTTTTTTTTTAAAGATTTATTTATTTTGTTGGAAAGTCAGATATACAAAGAGGGGGAGAGACAGAGAAGAAGATCTTCCATCCGATGATTCACTCCCCAAGCAGCCGCAATGGCTGGTGCTGCGCCAATCCAAAGCCAGGAGCCATGAGCTTTTCCAGATCTCTCAAGTGGGTGCAGGATCCCAAGGCCTTGGGCCATCCTCAACTGCTTTCCCAGGCCACAAGCAGGGAGCTGGATGGGAATTTGGGCTGCTGGGATATGAACCAGCGCCCATCTGAGATCCTGGAGTGTGCAAAGCGAGGACTTCAGCTACTAGGCTGTCATGCCTGGCTGAAAGATTGGTTTTGTTATTGCCATTGTTGTAGAACTATGCAATGTTTCTGATTAGCTTTCAGTTGTGGAATGAAGTTTCTAGTTGCAGGTTATGTGTATATTAAGTGTATATATTAAGTCATGCTTTTCTTTGTAAATAATTTAATTATTAAGAGATAGTGTTTTTTTTTAAATTAAGGATTTATTTATTTATTTGAAAGACAGAATTAGAGAGAGGGAGAGGGAAAGAGAGAGAGGTTCTTACAATGAACATTTGGTTCATTCCCCAAATGGCTGCAGTGGCCAGAACTGGGCTGGTCTAAAGCCAGGAGCTACCTCTTGTTCTCCCACTTGAGTTAAGAGACCCAAGCACTTGGGCCATCCTCTTCTGCCCTGTAGGTCATAAGCAGGAGCTGGATTGGATGTGGCACATACTGGACTAGAACCAGTGCCCATATGGGATACTGACACCACAGGTAGGACCTTAGCCTACTATGCCATAGCACCAACCCCTGCATTTCATTTTTAAATCTTTAAAAAGAATTTTATGTATAAACTTAGAGATTTTTTTAATTATCTTCTCAAAATAACATTGAGTTTTTCTAAGTAATTTCATGCTTGGTGATGCCTATTTTATATCTATGTGTGTTGTATAACTGTAGTAGGGCTTGACTCTTTGTATAGTGAGAACAGAAGGTACTGATAAAAGTATCTGTTTTAAATGGTCTTACCCCCTTTTCTGTAGGTGTTGACCCTGTATTATTTCTTTTGAATAACATTTTTATGTATTGTTGAAGATTTCTAGAACAACAGCAAGATGAAAAATCCATTTTATTGTTTTGCTTTTTTCCCCACAGAATACTTTTTATATTTCACTGTCATGTATAATGCTGTGTGTTTTTTAAGCTATTTTTAAAATTAAATTAGGAAGATATCTCTTTCTATCCCTCCCCCCATCTTTTTATTTGTTTAAAAAAATAGGCACAAAAATTTTTTTTTTAATTGTTCACATAATTGAGAGGGATGTGTGTAGGTCTCCAGTTAGTGTGGGAAGGATCAAGGCGTGGAAGAGGGTGGACAGGAAAAATGGTTCGGTTTTTTTCACTCCTGTGTTCACAGCAGGGGCCATGAAGGAGATCACTGCCTGCTGTCAAACTGCATCAGCACCCAGGGGTGGGGACAGTCATTTGATAAAGCCTTAGAGACCTCGATGTGGAGGAAGAATGTTCTGAGGGTGTTACTTGAGTGGCTTTGATAGTTCAGAGATGTTGCCAGCTTCATTGCACCAGAGTTAAGAAAATCTTTCCAAGGTCTATAGGCTGAGCAAGTCCACCTTAGTGTATCCACAGGCCCAGGAACAGGTTGGAAAGCTTACCCAGGAGAGTGTTCCAGCCTCTTCTGCTCTCCATCCTCTGATGAGGCAGTTTACATTCTCTGCTGAAGGCACAAAAGTTTAAAGAAAGTTGGGTCTTTTTTTTTTAAAGAGAAAATGTTAATAACATTAATTGATATGGTCAGTCAGCTCTGCTTTGTTCCTTAAATGTTGTTGATGGACCGTTTTTTCCTTAGGTACATACCTATGTCAACACTACGGGTGTGCAAGAAGAGCGGAAAAACCGCACCAGTGTGCATGTCCCATTGGAGGCAAGAGTTTCCAATGCTGAAAGCAACACGCCAAAAGAAGAGCCAAGTGGTATTGAAGACAGGGACCCTCAGATTCTTCTGGAACCCGAAGGAGTGAAGTTTGTTTTAGGACCAACACCTGTTCAAAAGCAGTTAATGGAAAAAGAGAAACTGGAGCAACTTGGAAGAGATCAAGTTAGTGGAAGTGGTGCGAATAACACAGAATGGGACACTGGCTATGACAGTGATGAACGGAGAGATGCACCCTCTGTTAACAAACTGGTGTACGAAAATATAAATGGGCTGTCTATCCCTAGTGCCTCAGGGGTCAGGAGAGGTCGTCTGACATCCACAAGTACCTCAGATACCCAGAATATCAACAACTCAGCTCAGAGAAGAACTGCATTATTGAACTATGAAAATTTACCATCTTTGCCTCCTGTTTGGGAAGCACGCAAGCTAAGTAGGGATGAAGATGACTGTTTAGGACCAAAGACCCCATCTCTAAATGGCTACCATAATAATCTCGATCCAATGCATAACTATGTAAATACAGAGAATGTAACTGTGCCGGCAAGTGCTCACAAAATAGAGTATTCTAGGCGTCGGGACTGCACGCCAACAGTCTTTAACTTTGATCTCAGACGCCCAAGTCTAGAACACCGGCAGCTCAATTACATACAGGTTGACTTGGAAGGTGGCAGTGACTCGGACAACCCTCAGACTCCAAAAACGCCCACCACCCCCCTGCCGCAAACCCCTACCAGGCGCACAGAGCTGTATGCGGTCATAGACATCGAGAGAACTGCTGCTATGTCAAATTTGCAGAAAGCACTGCCTCGAGACGATGGTACGTCCAGAAAAACCAGACATAACAGTACTGATCTGCCCATGTGAGCCTGCAGAGCATTGTGTTGTTTGCACCTTGGTGAAGTTTTTAAAAATGAAGATGCAAGTGCTTCATTTTTGCTTCTAAACACTAACTCCTTTTATAGACTGATACAGATTTTTTTTTCTGAAATTTTCATGTACATCTTTAAAGGGAATTAATGTAGAGCAGGTACTCCTTAAAGAACACTTAATGTCATTATTAATTACTCATTATTGTACAGCAGCATTCCCATTTTCACAGTGCCTATATAAATGAGAGTTGAGGTGAATGATATGCTGGTTGATTTTTTTTTTTTATTCATTATTCTAGACTTACACATGGCTTTCCTGTGTAAGCCATGGTTGGCGTTGAAAAATTTTTATAAAGCCTCTTGATAATGTGCATTGCTAACAGATAACTCTAGGCTTTGGAAGTAAAACTTTAGATTCACTGTTCACAGTGCGTGGCCTCTAACATGTAACCTGAGGAGTCCCTGCATTTCAGTCAATAAAGGCATTTTGCCTTGAGCCAGAACATGTAAAGGAATAGATGTACCACCCCTCCTTTTCTGCCAGTCAGGCCCCTCGCCCTCAGTGTTACTACACAGAGTCTGTGTCCATGAATGTGATTTGCTGTTGGTGTACTGAAAAGTGAGAAGGAGACGAGATTTTGTTTACTCATCTCATGATGTCATTTACTGGCTGTGTCTAGACACCATGTTCAGAATTAGAGTAGGCTCAAGAACCAGTCTCAGGTCACTTCACCCAGAAGCATTTGAAAATCTGAACCACGGTACCTTGGCAGTTCTCTCCTAGAGCTTAGTGACAGCACATTGTTTTCTAGAGGCATTTGTGCCATTGGATTCCTATGTATCTTCAGTTTTTCCCTTGGTGTTTGGGATGTCTTATTTTGTTGCTTAATGTCTTCTTCAGTTTAAAAATGTTTGAGTTTGTATATAGTTTTGAAATTGGATTATGTGTTCATTGTTACTTAGTTTGCATTTTTGTCAAATTATGGTTTTGAAGATTCATGTGGAATTTAACTGTTATTCTATAACAGGGTTGCCTTTGTCCAGTATTTATTTATATGCTGTTTACTTTTTAAGTTGATAAAAAAAAATTGTCTCAGTTGAAAATTTCACTTGTGTCCATAGGTGATCCTTTTAGCAGCTGAGAAAAAATAATAACTTTTAACATACAAAGTTCCCCAAAGGTACTGTGTTCTCAGCAGGCACCCCCAGCACTTTAGCAATGACTCCCCGGCCACACAGCTGGCTCCAGTTGTTCCCTGCTCCCTCCCGTGTTCCTCAGCTGTGCTGTCCTTTTACTTGCAGCTGGATCTTTGGTTATCCTTTGAATTTGTGGAATGTTAATATTGTTGCCAGCATAGCAGATACAGTAGAAATTGTGTAGTCATGAAATTGCATCATAATTTAGGATTTAAAATGAGCTGAAGTTTATATAAACTGATGAGATTCCATAAGTGAAAATTGTTGGAAAATCAAGAGCATTCCAGTTTCCCCACCACTAGAGAATATAAGAGAAGGTAGAAAGGTTAGATAACCTTACAAAATATTTTTGTTTTGTCTAAATAATGAAGTAGTTTGAAATTACGCTCTGGATCTGCCAGTCAAAACTAAGGTTCACTAAGCATGAAAAACATGTATCATGGCATTCAGCTTCTCCAACAAATAACCTAATCAGAGGGCAGTGAGTGAATTGCCAGAATGATAGAGTTGGGCCACTGTAAAGAAAATAAATTATAACAGGTGTCTTTATTATTTTCAGTGCCACTGGTTTTTGCACATAACAAGAGTTTCTGGTTTTTATTTTTTTTTTCCCCCCCGTGAACTTGGTGCTGACTAAAGTGTTCACTGTTCTCTTAAGAAGAGCAGTGATATAGGTATGCAGTTTCCATTTTTAATATATTATGCCATGTATCCTTTCCGCTAAGTAAATTGCTAATTGTGCCAAATTTATGTAATGGTCTCTGTAACGTGGAGTAAGCATCATGATAGAGCCGGTGTACTTGCTTCCTTTGAAGCAGGCCATCAAAGCAGAACACTATTCTCCAGATGAAAGGGCTGAACTGTCTGTTCATTCTAGGGATCGAGCACTTCAGTCTTTCTTTCCCTCATCCTATTCATCTTCTTTCCTCCAGGTTCTAACTAGTTTTTACATTTATATATAAATATATATACATATATATATATATTTTAGGTAATGCTAACATAATCATTACAGTTTACGCTTTAAATACATTGTGCTTTAAAAATGAAAAGTGGGACCAGTTTGTCTGCTAAGAATTTGGTCTTAGGTACTCTTAAAAGAAATTAGGAAGACTCATAGAACTGGTGTTAATTTCTGGATGTTTTCTGGAAATCACCTGTGATCCTATTTAAATAAAAAGTCATTTAGAATTCAGCTTGTCCGTTGCAGTTGTATAGTAATGGGCATTAACTGTGTCCTGGAAGAATATCCCTATTCCTAGGTATGTTACACAGTGAGATGTCTTATTGGCATATAATTGTGGCCGTATGTCTCAGGTTTTCTGAGACGGGTGTAATTTAGTTATTCAGTTCTCTTGATAGACCATGTTATCTCACTTTTAGATTTTAGAAATACACTTGTTCACATATTTTTCCCCAAAGATAATCCTCTCATATCCACATAGAGCGTAACAATGTTTATCCAAGGCCAAGGTTGGAAACTGGTATGGTTTTTCATAGTGTCTTTTGCTTCCCGGTGTCATCTTCCCTTAAAACTGAAAATATGGTGCCTTCCCTAGCTCCAGGAAGATTGGCAAATGGTTCCTTTTATTTTCTGCTGCTGTGGAGTGATGAGATATGCACTTTACTCTTGAAGACTCAGCAAAAAGCTTTTCACTTCCCGGCATATCCAGAAGAGATCACATTTGGGACTGATGAAAATTTGCCAAGCGATCTTTACTTTTGTAGATACTAATGTCAACCCCTCCTGCCCAGTTTAATGTTAGAAAAATAAATCAAGCTGGTATTTGTTTCATTTTCCATCCTCCCCATTCCCCACCAAAATCTGTGGCACAGCATATAAAGATGTACCTCAGTAATGTTCTATTACAAATGGGACAGGGGCCTTATGTTTTCAGTTTCCCAACAATGTGCCGCCATAGATCTGTCTTAAGGTAAAGGTTTTAGCAAGCTGAAAAGTACTTTCCCATTGCTTCTCTGCTTTTCCTAACCCTTAATACCCAAATATTTTGTGCAATGTGTAGTATTTGTTTGTAAATATATATATTCTCAAAATAGAGATACCATCAGAGACATGACTCAGAAGTAACTGATGTATTGCCATTCCATTCATATTTGTGAGGTATAAGGTACTAATGAACTTTTCCTTGATGTTTGCCAAATTTGAATAAAGGCATTGGTACGAAATGATAGAATGTATAGGAAATGTTTTGGCTTGAAAACTTAACAAATATTTTAGAACATCCCACAGTATATTCTGCCCAAACAGCACCCTGTCCATCTACCCTGCTTTGTACACACCTATTGCCCTATTGCCTCAGTTTTTGGGAATTATAATAATTTTTTGGTAGCATTGAAGTGATTGCAACTCTATAATAATTGGACAATAAATAGCATGGAAACAGGCTGTTATTGATAGTACAGTAGACACCAGTGTGCCACATTTGCATTAGTAAATGCAAACTATACATTTTTATAAAGGAAAAACTTTGTGTTATGTTTTTATTTCCATTGCATTGTATAATATTGTAAGATTCTTGTATGTCCTAATTTGCATTATAAATGTTTCTTTCCTACGTAAAGGCATAAATATAGCAACTTTGTATAAAGGTAGCTTATTAGATTTTAATTTTCTCTTTTATAAAAATTGTCTAACAGTGGAACTACCATTGCCAAATTGTATATGAAATATGAATTTTACCCCATAGTTAATTTCTTTTATAAACATTCCATATTTCTCTAATAAGTGATACTGTACTATGCATAAATTGTATTTTAATGCTGTTTAATATCAGCATTTTAAATTTTGGTTTGCATTTTTGGGTACTGGCAAAACTTAACCACTGTTAATTAAAACAAAACCTTATTGTATATGTAACAGCATCGTTTTCTTTCTGTCCCTCCCCGCCCTTTGTTTTCTATTTCTCCCTATCAGTGCCAACTTCATACATTTTGTAGCATGGCAATAAATAACGACTTTTACACAGAGGCCGAGTGTGGTGTTGTGGAGGAAGTGGGGATGGGAAGATTACTCTAGCTGTCCTTTGAGTACAACTCTTTTTGCCATATAAGCCATGTTATCAGGCATGAGAAGTTATCTCATACATGTTGAAAATGTGCTTTGAAGGACAAGTGTGAATGTGCTTTAAAGCTTAATTTTTGTCATAACAAGTAAGAACTGATTTTTTTTTATATTTGGAAAAGTCAGAGTTCTTGAAGTACAATCAAGCCTTTATTAACTGGAGTACTCAACGAATAAGCTAATAATTGAATTTTGTTCAACAAGGGCTAAGCAACACGTTTTTTAAAATCCTTATTTATTGTAGAGTATTAGCATACTTTACTGTCCTCAAAATTATAATATGTAAAATGCAGTTTAATCATTGATGATTCAGCATTGTGCAATGCCTTACTGTTGTCATTCAGACCTAGATATCCGTGATGAGGTACTCAAGTTGATACTGGAAGCTGACTATACACTGACCTGAAGCATTCATGAAAAACTGCTCTGTTGAATAAAATCTTACCCGAATTTTTCTTATGGTCACTTTCCTCGTATTGCCAAAAGTAGATTGCAATAAAACCTCAATAAAAGTTCTTTGAAAAATACTTAAAACTTTGACTGTATTTGTATTCCACACATTACCTGAAACCTTATGGTACAGCTTTCATTTCCTACTCTTACATCATTGCCTCCTATTTAAATTTTTTTAATAGTATTTATTACAAAGGTGAGGGGATTGCAGACCATGTGTACCTCCTTTTACCGTCAAGCAGGTGTGGTGTGGGGAAGGTGGGTGAAATAAATGTTTCTGTTTTCCTTCCTGTGTCCACAGGGAGGCGCACCACTCCTTGAAGCCAGTCTCCATCAGCTAAACAGACAGAGACGGGCATTTGATATCCACTTAGAGATCCCGATGAGGGGAAGACCGTTCCCAGGGTTTTCCTTGAATGGGTTTGATTGTTCTGAGAAGTTGTTGGCTTCCTTGAGAGGTGAGACGGTCTTTCTAAGGCCCACAGGCAGTCTGAGTCTACTGCGATGTGTCCACAGACTTAGGTGTGCACTGTAAAACCCAATGGCCTCCATTTTTTAAGAGAACGTGAAAGTTACAGATTGTGTGTTTAAGTCTTTCACAGTCTTTACAACAGTTTGTTGGGGGCGGGGAGAGTCATCCAAACTAGGAGCTCTCAGCTCTTGAGATTTCCAGTGTGTGATATTGCAAAGCCTATTTGAATTTGGCTCAAAATATAATTACTTTGACAATAAATGGGAAAGACAGTTCCACAATTGACTGGATGTTCACCAGGTGCCAGACACAAGAGAAAACATAAATTGGTTAAGGTGTGGTGGGTGAAATTCTAATCTTAGAAAACCTGGGCATTTATTCTGAGTTTGAATAATATTTAGGTTACCGAGGAATTTTTGCCTTGAGGCTCCTTTGACGACAGTAGCTTTAGCATATTTTTAAAAAATGAATTCTTATGCGCTGGGCCTAATGTTAGTCATTGAGATTGCAATCTTTGTAGGGTCGGCGCAATAGTGTAGGGGCGAAAGTCCTCGCCTTGAACGAGCTGGGATCCCATAGGGCCGCCGGTTCTAACCCTGGCAGTCCTGCTTCCCATCCAGCTCCCTGCTTGTGGCCTAGGAAAGCAGTTGAAGAAGACACAAAGCCTTGGGACCCTGCACCCGTGTGGGAGACCTGGAAGAACTCCTGGCTCCTGTCTTCGAATCAGTTCAGCTCTGTCCGTGTGGTCACTGGGGGAGTGAATCATTGGATGGAAGATCTTCCTCTCTGTCTCTCCTCCTCTCTTTATATCTGACTTTGCAATAAAAATAAATAAATCTTTTATATATATATATATTGCAATATTTGTCCTCAAAAGAGCTGATAGCTCATGGGCCCGGTGCGGTGGCGCAGTGGTTAAGGTCCTCGCCTTGCATGCCCGGGATCCCATGTGGGCGCCGGTTCTATCCCCACAGCCCCGCTTCCCTTCCAGCTCCCCGCCTGTGGCCCGCTCCCCGCCTGTGGCCCGGGAAAGCAGTCGAGGACGGCCCAAAGCTTTGGGACCCTGCACCCGCGTGGGAGACCCGGAAGAGGCTCCTGGCTTCGGATTGGCATAGCATCGGCCGTTGTGCTCACTTGGGGAGTGAATCATCGGACGGAAGATCTTCCTCTCTGTCTCTCCTCTCTGTGTATCTGCCTTTCCCAGCAGGGTCCCTGATATGATCATATCTCCAGGTAGACATTTTGCCTATCACAGAAAGACTTTCTCAATGTGGTGCAGACACATAGTTTCTCGTCGTGTCTCTTAATCCCAAATGCCATTTGGGATCTGCCCATTAAAGTACACCTTCTGAAAGAAGAGCATGCTTTCTCACAAACAACAGAAAACTGCAGGTTTAAAAGTAACACTTCAATGACAGGTATTGCGTGTTACAGTTAAGAAATCACTTGAGATGCCTGCATCTTATATTAAGAGCACGGGCCGGGATCCTGGCTCCCTGCTAATGTATACATCTGCCTGGGAGACAGAAGGGGATGGCTTAAATAGCCACCCACCTGGGAGACCTGCATTGAGTTCAGACTTCTTGGCTTTGGTTGGTCTAGCCCTGGCTGCTTCATTTAGTGGATGAACCAGTGGATGGAAAAGTCTCTATCTCTGTCTTTCAAATAATGTTGGCGATGCAGTGTTTCAAAATAATAATGATGTGTACAGCTTGAAACCTCTTGTCTTATCTCAAGAACAGTGTAAACCAGGGTCAGCAAGCTATTGTTACCAGAAAAGCTCGCTGGGTTTTTCCTTAGCTTAGTATGGAAATAAAAAGCCAAGAATTGGTTGCAGAGAAGTTTTCTTTGCAAAGTGACCAGGTGAAGTTAGAAGAGGAAAGGGGAAAACGAAGCACCCCCCAGGAGAGAGCCGGGAGGTGGGAGCCTCTTGAAGGAGAGAGGGGAGGTGCCAGCGGTGTGAGGAAGGGTCTTGGGATCTCCAGCATTCCCAGACCCATCCTTGTCTAGGACGGAACCTGCAGGGAAGATGTTCCCTGTTGGTGGTCTCTCATCCAGTTATGAAGTGGCAGGCAATTCTTGCAGCACCCACTTGAAGGTGTGGCCAAGATCTTTGTGGGGTTGGAGGGTCTCATTAAGGAACAGGCAGTCACTATTTTAGGTACTTGTGGTCTCCTACCGTCTGGGTCACTACTGAACGCCACCATTCTATGCCTCTGTTCTTGTGTTGGGATAGCATAAATGTTAATACGTCTGCATGTCAACAAAGCTTTATGGAAACTATTTTCATGTGTCAACAAATGCTTTTTTTTTTCTCCTCCAATCAAAAATGTGGAAACCCATTCTTATAGTTTCCAGGCTCTACAAAAATAGTTGGCAGGCTGGATTAAAAAAAAAAATTTATTGGAAAGTCAGATATACAGAGAGAAGAGATAGAAAGGAAGATCTTCCATCTAATGATTTACTCCCCAAGTAGCCCCAGTGGCCGGAGCTGAACAATCCGATCAGAAGCCAGGAGACTCTTCCAAGTCTCCCACACTGGTGCAGGGTCCCAGGGTTCTGAGCCGTCCTCAACTGCTTTCTCAGGCCACAAGCAGGGAACTGAATGAGAAGCAGGGCTGCGGGGATTAGAATTGGCGCCCATAGGGGATCCTGGCACATGCAAAGTGAGTAGCTGCTAGCTACTGTGCCAGATCCGGCCAGCTGGATTTGACTATCCAAGGCCTGCCAACCTTAGAATGTGTATGGAAGTTGAAAACAGTGGTCAACACTAGCAATTGTCAAAAACACAGGAGTCTGCAAATCGACCAATGTTTAGCAGCGGATGACAGAAGACTAGCGAGTTGTCTTACTTAAAGCCTCGAGTTTAGCTATAGATCTCCTCAAGGGGCCAAATCAGAGAGAATAGAAACTGTTTTTTCTTTCTTTTTAATATTTATTTTATTCACTTAAAAGGCAGATTTACAGAGAGAAAGCTCTTCTATTCAGTGGTTCACTCCCCAGATGACCACAATGGCCAAAGCTGAGCTGATCTGAAGCCAGGAGCCAGGAGTTTCTTCCATGTCTCTCATGTGGGTGCAGGGTCCCAGGAATTTGGGGCATTTTTTTGCTGCTTTCCCAGGTAATAAGCAGAGAGCTGGAGCAGACCTGGAGCAGCCAGGACACGAATCTGTGCCCATATGGGATGCCAGGAGAACACTTTCCTCTTGTCTTTCAAATTTTTTTCTAAATAATTTATTTAATTGGGATTTCAGAGAGCTCTAAGAATCTGCATTCTTCACAAAATCCCCAGATGATTCTAGGTTTTGCTTGCAAATATAGTTTAAGAAGTAATTTTAAGCTCCATTTTGAGTCAGATGTCATAAACAATAAAATCATGTCATGCATTTGAACAATTTCTTTCTACTAAGAGATACCTAAACACAATGTGATTTTAAAAGTGAAATCCTATGTAGTTCAAAAAGATAAGTATACTAAACCAAAAGCTATACAACAATGAGAAACATTAACACCAAATGCGGGTGTTAATCCTGTGTTTAACAAGGTTCATTGGGCATTGGGAAGCACCAATCCTTTTGTCCTTTTCTCGTGCCTTATCGTATATCCACACGCTGCATCTGATGGGATCCCTAGGTTTTATTTCATCTCCACAGATGTGTATCCTTGGCCACAGGCTCCGGGGCTGAATACTTCTCAGCGCCTCCCTCAGAGCGGAGGGCCCGTTCCCATGGCAACCCCAGGGGGTGTAGCCTCGTCGGCCCTGCCCATCCTCCGGGCCCACGCCCCGCCCCTCCGCGTAGGGCTTGTTTCCGGCCTCGGAGGGCCGGAGCCCTGCCCCCTGCGGCGGAGCGTGTGGCGTCACGTCCGGCTTCCTCTTGGCGGCTGGCTCAGGCCACGAGCGGTGTGGGCCTCGCGTGTGTCCCGAACGAACGCCTCGACACCATGGTGAGTCCGAGCTCGATGCCGGCTGTGCCCAGCCCCTGCGGGCACCCCCCTCACGGCTCCTCCCTGACCCCCGGGGTCCCTCTGCCTCTCCGGCGCCGCGAGCTCGTCGTGCCGGCCTCCCGGGCACATGGCGCGGGCCACGGCGTGTGGCCTGCACGGGGCCGGCCGGTGGACCCTTGAGGCCCGGGTCTCCCTCCTCGGCGGGACCGTCCCATGGCCGCGGGTCCGGGACCTCAGCCCCGCCGGAGAAACTTCTAGCTCGTCGCGGCCCCGCCCTCGGTGGCGGGGCGGGGTCTGGCCGGGAGCCGCCGGCGGGGGAAGATGGAGGCCGCTGGGCCCCCTGGTCCTTGGTCACCTGTGCTCGTCGGCGCTCGGTCCCCGGGGCCCGGGTCGCCCGTGCTGCTCAAGGGGCGGCTATCGGGGTGCGAGTCCGCTGTGCCGCTCGGCCGGCGGCTCCTGGGGTGCGGCTCTCGTCCGTTATTCACGTGTGCACCCCATCGACCACGCTCCAGTCTGACCTTGTGCCTCTTGGTTCCCGTGTGAAGGCTTCCCTGTCCCTGGCGCCCGTGAACATCTTCAAGGCTGGAGCGGATGAAGAGAGAGCGGAGACCGCGCGTCTGGTAAGCCGCCGCCGCCTCCGCGTTGCCCTTTTCAGAGGTAAAATGGTACCTTGGGCGACTGAAGTTAATGGGGACCATCTCCTTGCCTTTTAAAACAGTCGTCTTTCGTTGGAGCCATCGCCATCGGAGACCTGGTGAAGAGCACCTTGGGACCCAAGGGCATGGTAAGAGAAGCGGGCACTGTGTTGTTGCAAGCTTTTACCTCTTCACGTGCAGTTTTCAATGAGAAAAGTCAGATGAATGGGAGTCCTGGGGTACTCGCCGGTGGGGAAGCAGTGCCCGTTATCTGGGAAGGCTCATCTGGACAGCTGTGTCTGCCTGTGCCGCCAGCAGTGCTGTGGTGTGCGCGCTGTCGGGGTGGCAGACTGCCCAGTAGTCCTGCAGGCTGTTTACACAGTACTCAAGGATAGCTGTGCTCCTTAGGGCACATTCACAGATTTGAACTCCGTGTGTTCTCTTCAGGATAAGATTCTTCTAAGCAGTGGACGGGAATCCTCTCTTATGGTAACCAATGACGGGGCCACTATTCTGAAAAACATCGGTGTTGACAACCCAGCTGCTAAAGTCTTAGTTGGTGAGTCTGTTGTGGACTGTTTCATAGGCTGTGTTGACTAGACTGTTAACTCATTTTGGTTTATGGTTAAAGCTATGGGTGTCCTGTGTATTTACTGGTGGATGTCTTTATCTCTTGTGCTGCTGGTGACAGTAGCAAAAGAGGAGGGAACTTAGAGCATCAGAAGTTAGTTTGGCTCACAGTAATGGATCACGTTTGGTAAGGACAGAGTGTTGTGTTCTTGTGTCAGAACGTGATGGGAGGTATCACACGGGTAAGACAAAGGGAGGACACCTGAGCTCCTGTATGGACCCCAGAGCTGAGGTGACCACAGTCAGGCCTACCTCAACACTGCCACCATTGACAGTTGTTTGGCTCTGTCTGTCTGGAAGTGAAGAGCAGAGAGCTTTCTTACATTGGTTTAGTGCCCAGCAGGCCACGTTGGGAAGCCAGGACCTTCGTCTGGGTGTCCCATTTGAGTGCAGGGCCCCGTGCGCTTGGCTGTCATCTACTTTCTCAGCTATTTTAACAAGGAACTGGATCAGAAGTGGAGTGACCTGAAACAACCTGGTGCTCATATGGGATGCTGGTGTCACGGGTGCTGGCTCTACCTGCTGAGCCACTACACTGGCTTGGGAACTATGGAACTCTTAGATCTCAAGAGTTCCAAATAATTTATCAAGTGAGAACACAGATGAGTAAGATTGAGATTGGGTGTGAATATTTAGGAGGAATTAACTTGGGGAAAAAGTAATTTGGAGTTAATTGTTTTCCTAGATATGTCAAGGGTTCAAGATGATGAAGTTGGTGATGGTACTACTTCCGTCACTGTTTTGGCAGCAGAATTGCTCAGGGTAAGAGTTTTTGATTGTTACTACCTCATGCTTTGGTGGTTGTTATTACCTCATGCTTTGGTTGGGTTTTTCCTTTGACGCTGTGGTTTTAAATAACAGTTAATCAAATTGTTGATCATAGTTCTTTTGCTTTGATAAGTGTTTATTTGCTGTTTTAATGTGACTTTTGTAGGAAGCAGAAACTTTAATTGCAAGAAAGATTCACCCACAGACCATCATTGCTGGTTGGAGAGAAGCCACAAAGGCTGCGAGAGAGGCCCTGTTGAACTCTGCAGTAGATCATGGGTTGGTACACCATAGCACTAATGTTTTGGATATTCCTCATATTTTCAGGACAGTTCATTCTACATAATCTTACCAACCTCTGCAGCCATAGACTTGTTTGGCACACAAAAGATGGCCATTGAAATTAGTTTTGATTTCCAGTCTTTGTGCATAAATCATCAAATATGCAATGCAGGAAAAGGATGTAGGTGCTTTGATAACATCTATATTAATTAGGTTGCATAATAAATGTTTTCAGTGTATATGTATTACCTCTAAAAACAGAATTTTTGTTCTCTAGCTGTGTATCAGTGCTTGTTTAACGTTTCTGACAGCATTGGTATTATATTGTATTCCCTCTTTCATACCTTGGAGTGGGACGGTTTGGTGGCCTTTTTGGGGGTGGTGGCCCTTTTGTGAAGATGGAACTGGTAGCAGTTTCGTTGAACAGGGTGTGGATGTGCCAAGTAAGGTGCAGGACAGTAGTTGGCTGACAGTGCTAGCTCTGTCTTTGTTAGGCTCCGAATTTTCACTTATATGAAGTATTTTCAGCCTCCATTTTGAAGATTGTCTTAAGTTTAACATATAAGATTGTCTTTGTGTTTTTGGATTATTATATAATGAAATTTTGCAAATATTTGTTTAATATTTGGAAATCTGAGATGTGCAACATCTAGCAGGTCATAGGCCGGATGCCCACAGTAGCTGATGCTGGGCTGAGGCTGGTATTGCGTGTAGCTGGGAACTGCATCCCTGGTCTTCTACGTGGGCAGCAGGGGCATGGGAAGTTCAGCCATGTCTGTTGCCTCCGGGGTGCTTACTAGCAGGAACCAGGAGCTGAGACCTGAATCCAGGCACTGGTGCGTGATGCGGGCATCCCAGATGATGCTTACCTGCTGAACTTCTGCCACAGTCTACCTTTTAGTTATTGGTGAGGTGTAATACTTTTCACATGTCTTATCCTAACCAGTTTGGGAGAAATGTCAAGTTATTTTATCTGAAATGAATTTTAAAAAGCAAAAGTAGAGTTAGAGAATAGATATGAGTTGTTTTTCTGGTCTTCCCCCCCCCCCCCCTTTAGTTCTGATGAAGTTAAATTCCGTCAAGATTTGATGAATATTGCAGGAACAACATTATCCTCAAAACTTCTTACTCATCACAAAGATCACTTCACTAAGCTTGCTGTAGAAGCTGTTCTCAGATTGAAGGGCTCTGGTAACCTGGAGGCAATTCACATCATCAAGAAGCTTGGAGGGAGTCTGGCTGATTCGTACTTGGATGAAGGTGAGTGGGTGAAATGGGAAGATGTGTTCAGATGTTGAGGGCCAAAACTGAGTGAATATTGTCTTTAGCTAAATGGAAGTGATGACACTTTCACTTAAGATTTATTTTTAATGGGCGCCGGTTCTAATCCCAGCAGCCCCGCTTCCCTTCCAGCTCCCTGCCTGTGGCCCGGGAAAGCAGTCGAGGACAGCCCAAAGCTTTGGGAACCTGCACCTGCGTGGGAGACCTGGAAGAGGCTCCTGGCTTCGGATCGGCATAGTATCGGCCCGTTGCACTCACTTGGGGAGTGAATCATCGGAAGGAGGATCTTCCTCTCTGTCTCTCCTCTCTGTATATCTGCCTTTCCAATGAAAAAATAATAAAAATAAATCTTTAAAAAAAAAAAGATTTATTTTTATTGGAAAGTCAGGTATACAGGGAGGAAGAGAGACAGAGCGGAAGATCTTAGGCGTCCAATCCACTCTCCAAGTGGCCACAGCGGTTGGAGCTGAGCCAATCCAAAGCTAGGGGCCAGGAGCTTCTTCCAGGTCTCCCTTGTAGGTGCAGCATCCCAGGGCTTTGGGCTGTCCTTGACTGCTTTTATAGGCAACAAGCAGGGAGCTGGATGGGAACTGAAGTAGCCAGTGTTAGAACTGGCACCCTTAGAACTGGCACTGTGTTAGAACTGTGTTAGAACAGTGTTAGAACTGGCACTGGGATTCCGGCACGTGCAAGGTGAGAACTTTAGCCGCTGGGCTACTGCACCAGGCACTTGATGATACTTTTTAAAGTTAGAAAACTTTTCAGGAACACAAACATACAGCAACCGATTTTGTAGTTTTATCCATGTGTTTCATCTTTATACATCATTTCAGCATAAAGAGTAATTGTAGTTTGTTTTTATTTACTTGAGAGACAAGTGATACTTGCTGGTCCTTTCCCCCAGGTAGCTACAGTAGCCAGGGCTGCAGAGTACCAGGACTCCATCCAGGTTTCCCCTGGCGGAGGGGGTCCAGGTGATGATACCTTCTGCTTTGGCAGTTGCGTTAGGAAGCTGTGCTACTAGAACCAATAGTACTACTACTACATCGGGTGCTAGTGTACCAGCTTAACCTGCTGTGTTACCATGGCAGCCTTGCAATCTAGTTTTGTTTAGATAAAAGCAAGGTGTTCTCAAAGGACAATTCCCCATGAATGTCATGCTTCCTAACGGCTAAAGTCCTCACCTTGAACACGCCAAGATCCCACGTGGGCACTGGTTCCAAACTTAGTGGCCCCTCTTCCCATCCAGCTCCCTGCTTGTGGCCTGGGAAAGCAGTTGAGGATGGCCCAAAACCTTGGGACCCTGCACCTGTGTGGGATACCCGGAAGAAGTTCAGGGTTCCTGGCTTCTCATGGGCTCGACGCCGGCCATTGTTGCTGCTTGAGGAGTGAATCATCAGACGGAAGATCTTCCTCTCTCTTCTCCCTCTCTGTCTGACTTTCCAATAAAGATAAAATCTAAAAGGGCGGGAGGGGAGCAGAGGATTAGAAGGTAAACATGATGGTGCACAAAACATTGAAATGTGTATGTTACAGATCTAGAAAATTTATGCATAGGTTTCAAATTAATATTTTAGGGACTTTTCAGAAGTACCGTTTCCTCTGGGAAAGTCAGATTATCTAAACTTTTAAAAAGTAGACTGGTAGGTATATGTTTTAAGTTTCAGAATTATAGAAAATAAGTCTTAGCGACCTTAATATTATGTTTTATTTATAGAGAAAAGAATTTTTTGTGATAGGTGTTTTCATGAACTTCTTGAGGATTCCTCCCAAATGCGTGGATTATACCAGCTATTTTGTTGTTCCAAAATAAACTTTTTAAGCATCTTTGTGTTTGCAAAATGGTCTGTTAAAAAAGTAGACATTTCCTTTACAGAGAAAAAAAAAGAATTAAGTGAAATTTTGTTTCCAAGAATTACAGAGAGAGTGAGAAAGATCTTTTAACCGCTGGTTCACTTCGCAAATGGCCACAGTGGACAAGGCTGTGTCTGTCCAGAACTAGGAGCTCCTTGGTCTCCCACGTGTGTGCAGGGGCCCAGTGACTGCCAGACAAATTAGCAGGGGGCTGGATTGGAAATGGAACATCTGGGAGTAGAATTGACACCCATATGTGATGCCAGCACTGTATACAGTGGCTGTGCCATAGCACCAATCCCTATAGCAGGGTGTTTTGTTTCGTTTTGTTTTTTTAGCAGGTGATGGCAGCAGGGAAAGATGATTAAAATGGGTGACTGTAATGTGACCAGCTACCATTTTTGAATGTCTATTATGTACCAGATGTTATAATAGGAATGAATCACTTAAGATAATGATCCAGTTGGGTCATGATCTGAATGGGTTTTCGGTTCACCTAAATTGAGCTGAAAATGCTTAATAATTGTGGCTTAACATTCCTTGTATAACACCTCTGCGTGTGGTAAGGACAGTTCTAGAGCGCTGCTGTTGTTTGCTGTGCTCTTAATTTTCTGTGTCATGCATATTTTAAATGATGCGTTGCTGATTTTTGTAAATACTCTTTTAATGGGATATTTTGTAGGTCTGAGGAGCTTGATAAAATGTTCTTTTACATAATAATTTGATAAAACACATAGCTTTATGAGGTTAATATTGCAAACTTGAGGTATATAATACCTATCTTTATGCTTAAGGCTTTCTTTTGGATAAAAAAATTGGAGTGAATCAACCAAAGCGGATTGAAAATGCTAAAATTCTTATTGCAAATACTGGAATGGATACAGACAAAATAAAGGTATGTGACTAATTTGTTGAAATTGATTGCTATAGTTAATGTTTATGATTATACACACTTGTATATATGCTTTTGCTTGTGTGTGTTGATTAAAATGTTTCAGATACACTATGCGATTTTTTAAAAAGGAGTAATGTTTTGTTTGTGTTTCTTTCAGATATTTGGTTCCCGAGTAAGGGTTGATTCTACAGCAAAGGTTGCAGAAATAGAGCATGCCGAAAAGGAAAAAATGAAGGAGAAAGTTGAACGTATTCTTAAGCATGGGATCAATTGCTTTATTAACAGGTTTGTTTGTGCTGTGTTATTTACAACCTAAAAAAGGATTATTTTTATGAAAATTAATGAGGTTTTTCAGTGATTTGTTTAGAATTGTTCATACAATATTTTTCCTTAAAATTATGTATTTTTCTTGTTTTATTCAATAAGTGATTCACACATGCTACCAGTGGACATTTAGGTCAGTGGCAAGTTTAGTGTAAAATTTTTAACAAATGGCTTTATTACATTTTTAGTTTAGATTTGATTGCTATAACTCCTAGGGTTAAAAGCATATGAGCATAGATAGTCTTTGGTGCTTTACACTGGCTTTGGATAATGAAGGGACCAGTTCATGCGGTCCTTAGCAGTGTAGTCACAAAGGTGTCACTCAGTGTTTTCATGGATGCAGTGTTGTCCTGAATGGCGTTTAATTACTGAGGAGGCAAAATGGTTTTTTGCTTTTATACAGGTATCTTAGGTAATAGCTTGGAACATAATCTTTCTGTGTGTTACGTCTTCAGGCAGTTGATTTATAATTATCCTGAGCAGCTCTTTGGTGCCGCTGGTGTCATGGCTATTGAACATGCAGATTTTGCTGGGGTGGAACGCCTAGCTCTTGTCACAGGTACAGAAAGAATTTTTTTTTTTTTTTTTACGCTTTATTTATCTGAAGAGGCAGGGTTACATTTTTTGCATCCCCTGGTTCACTTCCCACATGCCTGCAACAGCTAGGATTGGGCTGGTCCAAGTCAGGAGCCAGGGACTTCTTTTGGGTTGTCTCCCTTGTCATTGCAGGGTCCTAAGCATTTGGCCATCCTGCTCTGTTTCCCCAGGCACATAGGCAGCATCTGGAGGGGAAGCGGAACAGTCGGGACATGACCTTAGCCCATATGGGATGATGTTAGCCCTCATAGTGTTTTTATGTCTTATCCCCATTCATCTATTTTTATTGACTTGAAAGGCACAGAGAGACCTAGAGATAGAAATTTCTCTCTCATTTTCAGCTCGTTTAAATGTAAAAGCCCCCTGCTCTGGGGCTGAAATGGGGAGTCTGTCTCAACTCTCATCTCCCTTGTGGGTGGCAGAAACCCAAGTGCTTAAGCCTAGCTGGGTTACGTTGGCAGAAAACTGGAGTCAGGAGTGGAACTCTGTTTTGGACCCAGGGATGTAGAGTCCTACAGGCTGCATTCCTGCCCCAGTAATGACTTTAGAATTATCTCGAAGTAGTTTTTAACAAATTAAGTCTAAAAAGTTAATTATGTCTCATTTTCACATTTTTGAACATCACTAAGTTAATTATAGTTAGATCTGGAAATTGAAGAGATTTGTGGATTTTGAGATAGGAAGTCGCTGGTACTAATAATGTGAATTTCTGTCATATTCAAGAAGGAACTGCCATAATAGAAGAAATTAAAATCACCAGCATTTGGAGAGCATGCATGGTCTTGTTCCAAACGATTCTTAAATTACTTTGAAATTTTTGCGAGGCATAGCTTGTGGCCTGGAAAAGCAATCGAGGACGGCCCAAAGCCTTGGGACCCTGAACCCGCGTGGGAGACCCAGAAGAGGTTCCTGGTTTCCAGCTTCGGATCGGCACAGCACTGGCCATTGCGCTCACTTGGGGAGTGAATTATTTGGGCGCAAGATCTTCCTCTCTGTCTCTTCTCCTGTCTGTATATCTGACTTTGTAATAAAAATATCTCAATCTTAAAAAAAAAAAGAGAGAAAGTGTTATAAGCCATAAGACTGATCAGAAGAAGAAGATTTTGCAATAGGGAAAGAGTTTAGTCTTTTTTTTTTTAATATTGTTTATTTTTATTAGGAAGTCAGATATACAGAGAGAGGAGAAGAGACGGAGAGGAGTTCTTTGATGATTCACTCCCCAAGTGGCATAGCTGCCGGGAGCCGAGCTGATCTGAAGTCAGGAGCCAGGAACTTCTTCCGGGTCTCCCACGTGGGTGCAGGGTCCCAAGGCTTTCCCAGGCCAAAGCAGGGAGCTGGGTGGGAAGTGAGGCCACTAGGATATGAACCAGTGCCCGTATGGGAAGTCATATAGGATTACTGTGAAGCTTAAATAATGGATCCACATAAAGTGATTAACAGTACCTGGCATATGGGAAGCAGTCACAGTTTACAACATTGGCTGACATTTTTGTTAACTGCTTGGAGATGTCCTGCAGAGTGTGTGCTGCTTGGGGCACTTTAGTCTCTGCTGGGCTTGCTGTGGCCAGCCTTCTCTTTAGCAGGGGTTTTTGGGAGGGAACCCCAGGATGAGTGATCTCTCTTGTGTTTTAAGAAGATTTTTTTTCCTGTTAAAGTACATTTTTTAATGTTTATTTTTGTTCATAGGTGGTGAAATTGCCTCTACCTTTGATCACCCAGAACTGGTTAAGCTTGGAAGTTGCAAGCTTATTGAGGAAGTCATGATTGGAGAAGATAAGCTCATTCACTTTTCTGGAGTTGCCCTTGGTTAGTACTCACATGCACCTTGGGTAAGGTGCCTAAATGCTTGCTAAATAAGTTAGCTGCTTTCACCAGATTGTTCACGCATTTGTGAATAGTGAGTCTATGTTTAGGTTTTTTCCCTCTGTAATTTAGAACTGCTATGAACATATTAAGAAAAAGAATTGTTACAGTAGAAACACAAGCTGCTTTTGTGATTTGGTGGTTCCTGTCACATATGACACCTGTGTTCTGATTTCAGGTGAGGCTTGCACTATTGTTTTGCGTGGTGCCACTCAGCAAATTCTAGATGAAGCAGAAAGATCTCTGCATGATGCTCTGTGCGTTCTTGCCCAAACTGTAAAGGATTCTAGAACGGTTTACGGAGGAGGTGAGCATTAGGAACATACTGAGTATAATTTATTAGTGCTTAATATGAGTCAAATTACTTTAATTTTTAATTAACTATTGCCTTTGTCGTTAATTTTAAATGTTTGACATAATGTAAATTCAGTGGTTTAGTGTTTTGCAAATAACGGGCGTAACCGTGTTTTTGTGGGGCTTAATATGCAGGCTGTTCTGAGATGCTGATGGCTCATGCTGTGACACAGCTTGCCAATAGAACACCAGGCAAAGAAGCTGTTGCAATGGAGTCCTATGCTAAAGCGCTGAGGATGGTAAGCTAGTAAGAGACCTGAACTTAGTTTTTTGCATACAGAAGGTTGATTTTGTTTTGTTTTTTAACTTGGCGAAGTCAGTGAAAGATTTGTGTATTTCTATTTGAAAGGCAGAATTAGAGACGTTTTTCCGCCTGCTGTTTCTCTCCCCAAGTGGCCAAAATGGCCAGAAATGGCCAGTATTGAGCCAGGAGCCTGGAACTTCTACAGGTCTCCCAAGTGAGTCCAGGGCCTCAAGGACTTAGGTCGTCATCCTCTGCTTTCTCAGGCTATTAGCAGGGAGCTATATGGGAAGTAGAGGAGCCAGGGCATGGACTGGTGCCCGTGTGGCAGGCTGGTGTTGCAGACCTAGGATTGACTTGCTATGCCAAAGCACTGTCCCAGAAGATGTTATTTTTCTGTGCAGAAAGGCTTTTATGGGAAAGTAAGATTAACAGAGACAGGCACAGGTGACACAGAGAGGAAGGTCTCCCTTTTGCTGTTTCGTTCCCCAAGTGACCACAAGAGCTGGAGCTGAGCCAGTTCGGAACCAGAATTGTCTTCCACACAGGTGCAGGGTCCCAAGGCTTTGGGCCATTTTTGACTGCTTTCCCAGGCCACAGCAGGTAGCTGGATGGAAAGTGGAGCAGCCAGTATATGAATTGGTGCTAATTTATGGGTTACCAGTACATGCAATGCAATTACTTAACCACTAGGCTATTGCACTGGGCTCCTTGAGTTTATTCTCTTAATGAGCAATGATTAAGAAAATACATTTAAAAATTTTCAGTTTCAATTTTTAAAAGTTTGTTAGGTGCAATTAAAGAGAGGTGGAGAAATTCTTCCATCTGCTGGTTCACTCCCAAGTGGCCACAGCAGCCAGAGCCCCAGGGTGGCTGGAGCCAGTAGCCTGGACTGCTCTCTGGATCTCTCTCATGGGTGAAGGTGGTCATATTTTGCTACCTTCCAAAATACATTTGTAGGAAGCGGAATCAAGAGCTGGTTGAGTCCTGGCTGGTCAACTTCCAGTCCAGGGTGGAGAGATCTGTATAGAGTTTGTTAATCATTATTTGTTATCCTTATTTCATAGCTGCCAACCATCATAGCTGACAATGCAGGCTATGACAGCGCAGATCTGGTTGCACAGCTCCGAGCTGCTCACAGTGAAGGCAATGTTACTGCTGGACTGGGTAAGAAATGAAATGGAACTTGGCAGTAAAAAATAACTCACCCAACTCGTGTTCTTTTTTGGTAGGAAGGTAAGAGTTTTCCAAAGAGTTGTGTAAAAGACTCTTACAGCCCCTGCCTTTGTAACCATTGCACACAGGAGTAGAGAAATGTGTTTAACTTCATGCTCTCAACACTACCAAATATTATTCCAAAGGAGGCATAAAAGTAATTGAAAATTTATACCTAGTTGAATGCTAATGACCAGAGGATTTAAGTGTTACACTCTGAAATAAGTGTAACTTTTTAAAATATTTATTTATTTTTATTGTAAAATCAGATATAGAGAAGAGGAGGAGATACAGAGGAAGATCTTGCGTCCAATAATTCACTCCCCAAGTGACCGCAACAGTTAGTGCTGCGCCGATCTGAAGCCAGGAGCCAGGAACTTCCTTCAGGGCTCCCACGTGGGTGCAGGGTTCCAAGGCCTTGGGCCGTGCTCGACTGCTTTCCCAGGCCACAAGCAGGGAGCTGGATGGGAAGTGGAACAGCCAGGATTATAACCAGCACCCATATGAGATCCTGGCACATGGAAGGCGAGGGCTTAGGTCACTAGACTACCACACTGGGCCCGTAATAAGTGTAACTATTGAGCACAGATCTGCAATCCATATGAAGTACCAACAAGGTGGATTTAGTTCTGATAAATTTATGACTTTTGGGGTGTTACAGCAACAGTCTCAGAGTAGAAGGCCTCTCAATGCATAAAGAGCACCAGTAATCTGTGAAATATTAAGATCCCATAGTAGTTCGTGATTAGCCAATCTTTAAAATACAAATGTATATTTCTTATTTTGTACTATTTGAGAGGCAGAGAGCAGGAATGCTGGTTCACTCCCCAAATGCCTGCTTTGGCCTGGCTGTGTCAAACCAAAGCCAGAACTGGGAAATCAGCTCAGATCCACGTGGGTGGGTGACAGGGACACAAGTACTTAAGCCATCGCCTGCTGTCTCCCAGGTGGGCATGAGCAGGAGGCTGGCTAGAGTCAGGAGTGGGACATCTTCCAGGCGCTGGTAAATGGGATGTCGGCATCTCGGCTCCCAACTGTTGGGTCAAGTACCTGCTCCTGGTCTTTAGTATTATTTCTGGTAAGATTTATTTATTTGAAAAGCAGACTTACAGGAGGGGAATTTCTCTCCTGCGTGTACTTGGACAACCCATGGGCTGGACCCAGCCGTTGCCAGGAACTCTGGGTCTCATTTACTTGGGTTAGCATGACCTCTCCCATGTGCTTTTATAGGCTGAGGTACTATGTCAATCATAATTGCATGTTGTAATCTTACTTTTTGTGAGAATATGTTTGATTTGTAACAGATCATTAGAGACATTTTGATACTTTGAAATGCATTCATAAGAACTTTTTTTTTTCCTAAAGATCAATTTTTTATTTTTATTGGAAAGTCAGATATACAGAGAGGAAGAGCTTCTGTCTGTTGATTCACTCCCCACATGACTGCAACAGCCGGAGTTGAGCTCATCCAAAGCCAGAAGCCTAAAACCTCTTCTGGGTCTCCCATGCAAGTGCAGGGTCCCAGGGCTTTGGGCTGTCCTCAACTGCTTTCCCAGGCCACAAACAGGGAGCAGGATGGGAAGTGGGACTTCCAGGATTAAAACTAGTACCCATATGGGATCCTGGTGCATGCAAGCCGAGGATTTTTGCCACTAGGTTCCAGAACCAGGCCCTCATAAGCACTTTTTCTTTCTAGATATGAAAGAAGGCACTATTGGTGATATGGCAGTACTTGGTATAACAGAAAGTTTCCAAGTGAAGCGACAGGTTCTTCTGAGTGCAGCTGAAGCGGCAGAGGTGATTCTGCGTGTGGACAACATCATCAAGGCGGCACCAAGGTACTGTGTGATTCTCAGAAGTGCTAACACTCGCTACGAAAGGGAACTGGAGTAGGAAAGAGGGATAAGAGAGGGCATGGGCTTGCTGCGAAAACTGAGCATGTTGAGGTGAGAGCGGTGACATGCCGAGAGGACAGCAGTCCCCCGAGAAGCTGAGAAGCACAGCGGGCTGGTCTAGCAAGCCACAGTCCTAGTTGATTTAGATGGCACAGGAGCTGCAGGCAAGCCAGGGGCATTGTTAGAAACGAAGTTAGCAGGAATTTCTTGGTGCAGACCCTCCCAACTCTCAGTTCATTGGCTTTCCTCTGCTGCCAGGAGAGCATGAGGAGAAAGTAGTGGTTTGGCTGTGGAGAGAAAAAATGGAGATGTTAAAGTCCGCCATGGCACTGTACACTCAAGGGTCTGGTAATGGAGGGTGGTCTTCACTTTGAAATTGGGAAAAGCCGACAAATTCTGTTGGCAGTAAGTAGTGCTGCAAGTTTCCTGACTGGGCAAGGTCACCGTCCCTCAAATCTTTCAACTCTGCTTTGAATGATACTTGTATGTAGTTATGCTTCACTTGGCTTAATATAGATTAAAGTTATTAGAAATTAATGTACACTGAAGAAGCAATAATTTTAATTCAGCCTTTCTGTGCTGTAAGGTTTTTTTTTCATACTCACTATTAATCTCTAGAAGTCTTAAACTTTGGATCATGTCTTTTGGTGAAAGATGCTTTTATTTTGTTTTAAATGGTGGTGAGTATCTGGTTACCCATAAACCACAGATTGGAAAGTTTAAGAAACCACTTAAAGTGGTCCCTGTATGATGCTGCAGTAGGAGTGTGCTTTGTCAGCTGCTTAACTGATACACTTGCTTCTTCGGCAAGTACTGTTTCTCATTCCTTAGCTTCTTGACTGAATTTTAAATAAGAAATGTAACAAATACCCTGACCCAGTCCTTCTTCCCTAGCAATATCTACATGCTGCTTCCCTGTGTTGTCAGCCAGGAGTTTCTTCTGGGTCTCCCACATAGGTGCAAGATCCCAAGGCTTTGGGCTGCTTTCCCAGGCCACAGTCGGGGAGTTGGAAGGGAAATGGAGCACCTGGGTACAAAGCGGCACCTGTATGGGATACCAGTGGATGCAGAGCGTGGACTTTAGCCACTGGGATATTAATAGAACTAGAATTATAGTTGTTTATTTATTGCAACACGTTAGGTAAAATGTAATTTTGTTTTCTCACTATTGACTTTCTTAAATGTGTGCTTTTCCTATAGGAAGCGTGTCCCTGATCACCATCCCTGCTAAGCATTCCATGATTGTATGTGATGGCTCTCTGGACCAGTTCATAGCTGAGTTGTATTTGATAGATTTCAGCCTCGTGAAGAAGACTGTGGAATTAATGTGTATCTGTGCGCATTATATCCTTTGGTTTGAACATTTTAGCTGACCTATTTTAACATAGGTCTAATTTATTTTGTTTCATTTCTCATGCAGTACATTTAAATAAAAATTTGCACAGCTTATAGAGTTTTTCATTGATTTGTGTAGATTCTGTCTGTATTCTTTTTAAACTTGTTACTGGAAATGAAATGAATAGTATTTTCTGTATAGTGTAAGAACGTGGTTAGACTTAAGCATTGCTACTTTTTGGCAGATTTTAGGTTTTTATCGCCTTATCTGACATCCGATCTTCATCTAATGGTTTACTCCTCAGATGCCAACAATAGCTGCTCCTGGGCCAGGCTGAAGCCAGGATCCAGAAGTCCATTCAGTCTGCGATATGGGTGGCTGCGCCTCAGGTGCATAGCAGGATGCCACCTGCTCTTTGATGGTGATGTGTGGGCCTGAGCGTTTTCTGAGTTCAGTGGTATGAAAGTGAGCTTTGATTTGAATGTTATTAATAGATAACAGACATAGAAGAGAAGGCCCAACCAGAAGGGTTTTTTATTGAATCTTTTTCCTGAAGTGCTGGGGATAGTCTAAAGAAGGGTGTTTTGTTTTTGCAACAGGGTGTTTTAAAAGCACTTATACTTTGGCGTATGTTCTGTGTGTGTGTGTTTTAATATGTTTTTGTTTGAAAGGGAGACAGATCTACAGGTTCGTTCTCCAATTGTGCAATAACCAGAGCTGGCCGGGAATCCCAAACTCCATTGAGGGTGGCAAGGGTCCAGCTGCTTCCTGGGATGCTTCAGTGGGAAGCTGTAGCCACTCTGGAACCTGCTCTCCCAGCATGGGGTCCTGGCGTCCATCCTTTGTATTTTAAAAAAATTTTGTTTATACAACACAGAGATCTAGATCTTCACAGGGGCCCAAGTACTTGGGCCATCTTCCACTGCTCTCCCAAATATATTAGCAGGGAACTTTGTCAGAAACGGAGACCCAGGACTTGCACCATCGCTAATGTGTGATCCCCTACTGCAAGCCATTCCTTACCCCACAACACCTTGAAGCTAGACATGTCTTAATGCATACTACCTTGTACAAGCTTGAAATAGGAATTTCTTGTGTATCTGAAACTGTCCTTAAATGTTCACGTAAGAGAAATTTCAGAGAGCACTGGTACTCTCTGACACTAGTCTCATCAGTGGCACTGTCACCTTCTTTGTCAATTTTATGTTTTACATCAGTTATCATCCCCACATTGGAGGTAGGTAGAGCATGTGAGAGTATTACGTCAAACTGTGAAGGTTTCAGTGCAACAAGCGAGTTTATGTGGATGTCACCTTGCCTGAATTTAAATCTGAAAGTTCTGTGTATTTTCCCAAGGACTAAAAAAGGTCCAGCAAAAATTACTAAAACAACCTACAAAGGGGGAGGAATGAGAGACTGACCTTTTGAAGCTGAGGGTATACACAAGCTTCGTCACTTGCTGAATCTCGTACCATTTAAAGCCCCTGCGAGGTGTTCATGACTTAGGCCTGAAAAAATCCCAAGTTAGTGTATAAATCTTGAATTTCAAGATCAAGTCTAACCTAGACTTTCCAATCCCTGAAAAGCTGTGGGTGGAAATTCTTTTTTTTTTTTATTATTATTTATTGTAAAGTCAGATATACAGAGAGGAGGAGAGACAGAGACAAAGATCTTCCATCTGATGATTCACTCTCCAGGTGGTGCTCACAATGGCCGATGCTATGCCGATCTAAAGCCAGAATCCAGGAACTTCTTCCGGGTCTTCCACAAGGTGCAGGGTCCCAAAGCTTTGGGCCAACTTCAACTGCTTTCCCAGGCCACAAGCAGGGAGCTGGATGGGAAGTGGATCTGCCGGGATTAGAACTGGCGTCCATATGGGATCCTGGCGCGTTCAAGGCAAGGACTTTAGCCGCTAGGCCACGCCACAGGGCTCATGGAAATTATTTTAACTTCGAGCTAAATATGGGAGCAGCAATTTGCAGACCCGAAACATAGGGCATGTGCACATCCGTGGCCATTAGAGCACTGTGAGAGGAGGCTGCTGAGGCCTTCACCTCCTGCTCTGCGTGAGATGGACTTGGGGGCAAGGAGCTGTGTCATGTTTTCAAAGTGCTTCAGTGGTGCTGGGAAGTCTCCAGTGACTCTCAGGAGGCCAAATACACTCATTTAGAAACTTAGTAACGGATTGTTGCAGCTTTCTGTGTTCAGGTAAGCCAAGGAGCAGTTGACCGAACCAGATATTACACCGAAGAGCACAGGAACTTTGGTTAAAAGTCTTGAGAGAAAAGACTCATTGACATGTTTTAGTTCAAACATGGGCTTAACAATACACACATGGTGTTATACTCAGTAAAAGTGCATGTTGCACAGTATTCATTGTTCCCTGCCAGCTGCTGTTCTTTGCAAGCTGTACACAGTAATTGGTTTAATCTGTCAATGCCCAGGAGGGAAAAAGTCACTATCTTATGCTGAAGTGATAACTGATTGGTGTGTGAAGGGCCACGCCCTCGTCTCGTACCCCTCAGCGTGTGTCCCAATCCTGTACTCCTAGTTGTTTGCACACAGTTGATAATTAGGACCCAAGCCCACTTTTTCAGTGTGATGTTGCTTGTTAAGACAAAAGAAAATGAATGTGGTTGCTGGTTAGTTTGCCTAGAACCCAGATTAGATTTTTAGCTGGTATCACTAACTCCTAGAGGTTAAAATCCTGTCTAATTGTATGGAAGCGATTTCGATACATCAAGATTTACAATCCAGAGTGAAAATACGACATTTGGTGCTTCAACGTTTTTATTTTACTTTCATTAAGTGAACATGTCCAGAAAACATCTGAATGGTATGGCAACTTAAACATGCATGTAGATGCTGACAAGGAGAACGATATTGGACAGTAAAGTCAGTAGGGAACCCCTTAACCGCACTGTTGGAAATGTGTATTGGTTTAGAAGAAGCAAAATGTGCAATAATTTGACACTGGAGTCAGAGCAGTTAGCTTGTGAGACTTGAGAATTTCAGCTGCTTATGGAGCGAGCTGTAGGTGCACAGTGCAAGCAGTGGGACCATGAACCTTGGGAGGGGAGAGGGGTCCAAGCAACTCCTGAGGCTTGTGCTAGGTAAACATCAGAAGGCAAATCATGTTGGCGGAAGCTTCTAGTGTCAGCCGAGTGGGTTCAGTCATCAGCAAAGAGAAAATGGACTGACTCCCATGAGGACTGTGACCTCATTAGCAAATAAGCCTGGTTACCCTTGAGGTGTAAACCTGTTAGTTTGTATGGGCAAAGGGGTCCTCTGGCCATCTGAACAGTGGGCTTCCTCTTCAGGCAGACGGTGACAAGAGGAAGGTACCAGGGCATGGTCTCTTCCTCTAGTTCCGGTAGGAAAATTACTCTGCTCTTTGAGGTTGTTTAATAACTGTACTGCTAGCTTCACACGCGTCTGGGGGAAAGAACCATCTCAGCAGGGTATTTTCAGGTAACTGGCGCCTTTTTCTGTTAAGAGATTCACAACAATGATGGGTTGTTAAATCACCCACTGGCAGCAATTCCTCTGTAAAGTATGTACTCATGGGAGTGTCACAAGGTACATACTACCATGAAATACTGGCAGAAGTACCCAGGCTTACATGAGAAAGATCAAACAAAATTGCCTAGTGGCAAAGGCTGTACACACTACAGCCCACAATGCAAATTTCACAGAGCGTGTTTGGAGTGAACAGATTCCTTATCTACTACCTTTAACCTATGACGGTTCTGGAAATGTCTCCCTCTGGTGACAGCAGTCCAGTGCTCAGGTTTGTTGGTGAGCGCTCCAGGAGCTTGCTGCTCCACTGAGGCAGCTGGACGGCGCGAGGTTTGGCTGCAGTGAGCCTGTATTGCCAAAGAGATTTTGCTTTCCAGTCGACTTAGCATTGTTGGAGATGGGGAAGAGCTGGGACCTTGGAGCAGACCTGGAGGGGGAGGGGGTTGAGCTAAATCGGGTTGAGGATGCAGCTGGACTCCACTGAGCTGGTCTGCACCAGTGGTTTCAGCTGGCCCTAAGCTGCCGGAGGATCTTCCATGCTCAGCTTTCCCAACGGCAGGAGCTCTTTGCTATGAGTCTGACCGGTTAGAAAGGCCCTTTTGGTGACCTGGGTTAGTCACAAGACATCGATTCCATTCATGGTCATGCAAAAAGAGTAAGTCTGTAAAGGAGAGGGCTGGGGCCAAGTCCCCTGAACATGCAGATGCTGAATGGGAGGGGCCTACGTGCCTCAGGTCAGCTACCTCTGGGAAGTGCAGGAGGCAATAGTGGCCGATCCCTTCTCCCTCAGTATCAAAATACCTGCTTGGAGAAGTTGTTTTCTACCAAAGACGTGGTGATTACTCGGAGTTGACAAGAGCATGTAACTTCCCTTTGGGAGTTTTGTTGTTCTCCATGTGGATTTGTGTCTCTCCCTCAACCCTGGTGGCAGGTCACCAATAACAAGGACTCCAGGACAGGTTGGTGTTCGCTCGGGGAGGACAAATCTTCAAGAGCCTGGAGGAAGGAGGGGAGGAGGGAGAGCAAGTGTCTGCGGCTCCTGGCTTTCCTCCTGGACCAGAGCATAGCGCCTGGCTTTCCTGGGGTCGGGCTCTGGCGTCTCCTCCGCCCACCTTCCCACGCGGCGCACGCCCTTGGCCACCTTGGGTGCGTTCCTGCAGGGGTTGTGGTCATAGATGACCAGCTTCAGGCCTGACAGGTGGGCCAGGCTGGGGAAGTGCTGGATGTGGTTCTGGTCCACGTCAATCACCTCCAGGGAAGGCATGTGCAGCAGCACCGGCGGGAAGTCACTCAGCAGGTTGCCTGAGAGCCAGATGGTCCGGAGCTCCCCGAGGCGCTGGAGCTGGCCGGGCAGCCCGCGCAGGGCGTTGGAGCCTGCGTGCAGGGTCCTGAGGAGGCGCAGCTCGCAGACTACTTCCGGCAGCCGGGGCAGGCGGTTGGCTTCAATCCACAGGGTCCGGAGGTTCTGGAGAAGGCTGAGCTCCCAGGGGAGGTCGCGGAGCTTGTTGTTGCCCAGGTAGAGGATACAGAGCTGGTTGAGGGTGCACACCACTCGGGGCAGGGCCTGGAAGTGGTTGAAATCCAAGGCCAGTATCTGCAGGTTCTGCAGGCGGCCCAGCTCCGGGGGCAGGCTGTGCAGGTGGTTGTCACTCAGATACAGCTTGACCAACTCCGTAAAGGCGCACACGTGCAGGGGAAAGCGGCGCAGCTGGCGCCCGCTGAGGTCCACCGTCCTGTCCAGGGGCATCTCCTGGAGCTCACCCGCCACGAACTTCTGGCAGCGGTCAGCAGGGATGAGGGCCACCAGGGCCCTGACTGCGTTCCCCATGAGGCCGCAGGCGTGGTGAGCCCTAGCCCCCTGACTGCCTGGGGCCCCGTCCTGCCTTCCTGCTATAAACAGGCGCTTTGACAGGTGGAAGTGCTCCTGATTGCGGCTGGAGTGTCGCGTGATGGGCCCCACTGACCGGCTGGGTCTTGGAGGTCTGTCTGAGTCACACACTTACCTTTCATCACCCAAGTCCCAACTCTCTTTGTCTATGTTTAAAAAACATTCAGCCTGAAAATAGCCTCACTTTTTTTTTTTTTTTTTTTTTTTACCTACTAAGAACATTTTGAGGGCCCAGTGCAGTGGCCTAGCGGTGAAAGTCCTTGCCTTGAATGCGCTGAGATCCCACCTGGGTGCTAGTTCTAATCCCAGCAGCCCCACTTCCCATCCAGCTCCCTGCTTGTGGCCTGGGAGAGCAGTGGAGGACGGCCTAAAACCTTGGAACCCTGCACCTGTGTGGGAGGCCTGAAGAGGATCTGGGACCCTGGCTTTGGATCGGCGCAGCACTGGCTGTTGCGGTCACTTGGAGAGTGAATCATTGGACAAAAAAATCTACCTCTCTGTCTCTCTTCCTCTCTGTATATCTGACTTTGCAATAAAAAGTAAATAAATCTTTAAAAAGAACATTTTGAGACAATATAAAAGTAAATTATGAACATTTGAGAGTGAGCTCCTCCAGCCATGGTTTATAGATGTCTGATTTGTTTTGAAAAAAGAATTCCCGTTGCAAAAGGTTTTTTTTTTAGTATTACATATCATTGACATAGTTGCATGTTACAGGTGTTTATGTATTTCCTTTAGAGATTTAATTTTTTTTTTTTTCTGAAAGGCAGAGCAACAGAGAAAGCGAGATCTTCCATCCCTTGGTTCAGGCCTCAAATGAGCGCACTAACGGGGGGTGCACCGCACCAAAGGTAGGAGCCAGCGCATCCGTGTGGGTCTCCCACCTGAGCGGCAGGACTTGGGCCATCTTCTGCTGCCTCCCCAGGTACATTAGCAGATCACGCGGGGCTCGAACCAGCACCGGGATGGAGTGGGTGTCCCAGGTGGTGGTTTAACTTGCTGTAACCAGAGCCACGCTTCTTTCCATATTTTAGAACTGTGTCTGTATCAATGAGCACTAGAAAAGCAAGAGGAAGAGAAGAGCCAGCCCCCCAAACATCAGTACGTCTGGCTGCATCACTAGTGTGCCGCTGTGGCAGGTGTGCTCGCCTGCCTGGCACAGCTTGGGGCTTCCCTTGGGTCACGCAGGTGGTGACAGGGAAGCAGCTATATAAGCAACACGTTTACGGTACCAGTCCAGAAGGAGGTGTGTACTCAAGTTGAACCAACAGGAGGTGGTACAGAGCACTGATTGTCACCTTCAGACATCACTGCTTGTCATCAGCCCCCAGTCCCTTGGTCACTTGCTGGCTCTGAGCTCCTGACTCCAGCCACATGCTGTCACCCAGGATCACCTTTCAAGCCCCAGTAGGTGGAAGCCACATGTTGAGGCTTGCCAGGCATTTGGGTTCCTGATTCAGTGCTGCTGCAGAACGCCCCCTCCCTCTACCCCACCATCAAGTGGACTCATGTGAGGAAGCAATGGACTTAAATTATGTGATGCCATTGAGATCTGGGGCCTGTGTTCCATGTCATGATATGATGGCTGGAGCAGTTGTGTAAGAAGGCTGATTTGGAAAGGTCTGAAGGATGAAGAGCCTGGGGAGACACTGAGCAAGGCTCACAGCAGTATCTTTGACCCCCAGTGTGAAGGAGTATTCCCATCACCCCAATATGTGCCTGTGAGGGCAAGAGCCCACAATGAGCAGCTCTGGAGTCACCTGGAGACTTGGGGAGATTGGCCACTTTGTTCTGCTTGCTTCTCTTTAGATTTTAAGAATTTACTTGAAATGTGTAGTAACACAGAGAGGGGAGAGAGACAAAATCTTTTCCATCTGGTGGTTTACTTTCCAAACAATTGCAGCAGTCAGCGCTGGGCCAGATCAAAGCCAGGAGCCAGGAGCCAGGAGCCAGGAGCCAGGAGCTACTTCCAGGTCTCGCATGTGGGTGCAGGGTCCCAAGGCTTTGGGCAGTCCTCGATGGCTTTCCAGGCCACAAACAGGGAGCTAGCTGGGAGGGGAGTGGGGCTGCTGGGATTAGAACTAGTGCCCATGTGGGATCCCAGTGCATTCAAGGCAAGGACTTTAGCCGCTAGGTTACTGTGCCAGGCTTGACATGTGTTATTTTGAAGAGTGTGATTGAAAGAATCCTGAGTGGCATGTGGTCTGACACCCCTACTGGACCTCATCCCATGCTCATCCTGCCCAATTGCCTCTTCCCAGAGCAGCCAGGGAGACTCACCACGGGCCTGACTCAGCGAGAGCGATGCTGCAAGGCCTTTGGGGATGAAGGCAGTGTCAGGATCCGCCTGCACCTCATGGATTCCTGCCTGAAGCCAACGTCCGGGTCTCTGTGCCCATGGCTGGTGAGTTATCTTGTGCCCTCTACTCCTACTCTAACACGGAGCCTCTCAGCGGGTACCAGGCGTGGCTTCTATTTTTAGGAGGGCCAGAAATGACCACAGATGGTCATGAGCAGCTGCACTGGTGCTCTCCCAAGAAATGAAAATGCTAATGATGCTGCTGCCCCTGGGTTATTCATCAAGCACCTGCTGGACAGCAGACATTGTGCCAGGTGGTTTGCCTGTGTTCAATGCCTTATCAGCCCCTGGTTTCCCATGATAAGACCCGCTCATGGAGGCTTAAAGACGACACCAAATATTTATGAAGGAAACTGGCAATTAACAGTGAATCTGCCAATTCTCAGAAGGGGTGGTTTGGTGGGGAGGGGCAAGCTCCACCCCTAAGGCCCCACCCAGAAGCCTTCCGTGGCCAAGATGCTGCTGGCGAAACCTGCATCTGGTGGGTCAGACTCCAGCTCTACTTCCAGTTGTAGCTTTCTCTTAATATGCAGTGTGGGAGGAAAGAGGTGAGGGCTGGGCCCGGCGCTGTGGCGCAGTGGTTAAGGTCCTCGCCTTGCACCCCCGGGATCCCATATGGGCGCCGGTTCTATCCCGGCAGCCCCGCTTCCCTTCCAGCTCCCTGCCTGTGGCCTGGGAAAGCAGTCGAGGACAGCCCAAAGCTTTGGGACCCTGCACCTGCGTGGGAGACCCGGAAGAGGCTCCTGGCTTCGGATCGGCATAGCATCGGCCGTTGTGCTCACTTAGGGAGTGAATCATTGGACGGAAGCTCTTCCTCTCTGTCTCTCCTCTCTGTATATCCGCCTTTCCAATAAAAAAATAATAAAAATAAATCTCTATTAAAAAAAAGAGGTGAGGGCTGAAGTAGGTGGGGGCTCACTCTGAATGACCTGGGTTCAGTTCCTGTCTTTCACCTGGACCGACCAACTGTTGTGGGCTTTTGGGGAGTGAAATCAGTGGATGGAAGATCTTTCTCTTTCCATCTCTCTGCTGTCATTCTGCCTTTCAGGTAAATAAACAAGAAATATGGAAACAGCTTTAATACCAAGGCAAGATAACAATCAACAAACATGTGGAGGGGGCTTTTACATGAAAAGCAAAGCAAAATAAATCTTGGAACAAAAGCAACAGAGAGAGGAAGAGAAAACCACAGTTATGACGCTTCAGAGGGTTTGCTGACCCTGGTGTGCTGGGCAGAGCATGGCTCATTGGATTGTGGTAAGTACCCCAGTGTGACTGATGGTTAGTGTCACCGTCCAATACAGGAGGACATTGTGAGCAATTGAACAAGGCAGTAGGTAGCAAAGCCAAGATCTAAACTCAGGAACTGTGTCACAGGTGACCCGCACATTGTGTCGCCTCTTCTGTGAAAGCATCAGATTGCCATGAGAGCGAAAGCAAGCAGCTAAGGGTAAGGAATAATGCTGAGAAGTAGAAACATGAAAGCAGTTGAATTAAAAGGTAATAGAAGGAGGTGTTGTGGCACGGCACGTTAAGCTGCAGCTGTGAGGCCTGCATCCCTCATCAAAGGGCCTGTGTCAAGTCCTGGCTCCTCCACTCCCAATCCAGCCTCCCGCTGGTGCACCTGGGAGATAGCCAAGGATTCAGGCTCTTAATGGGAGAAGTGAGCACATTGTTGTTTTTGTTTTGTTTTTAAGATTTATTTATTTTATTGGAAAGGCAGATTTTTATAGTGAATGAGAGACAGAAAAGATCTCCCATTCATTGGTTCAATTCCCAAATGGCTGCAACTGATCTGAAGCCAGGAGCCAGGAGCTTCTTCCAGGCCATAAGCAGGGGGCTGGATGGGAAGCAGAGCAACCAGGACACAAACCAGTGCCCATATGGGATGCTGGCACTTGCAAGGTGAAGATTTATCCACAGAGCCTTCGTACCAGGCTTGTGAATACAATCTCAACATAAACCCATTAGCTATGAGGAGACAAGATAGGCGTAACTGCTAGCCTGCAGGCACCTGCAGGTTCTGAGGCAAACAGGCTGTTCATGGGACAAACACCAAGAAGAGTGTGACCCTGTGGGTCCTTGGCCAACAAGAGGCCACAACAGGGCCTTTTGTGAGTACTGGATCGCCCTGGGAATACTGGTCTATCAGGCAGGCACCAGCCTCATGAGATGACTAATAGATTCTGGCTTTCATGGTACTTGTAGAGTCCAGGCTTTGAGTGCACAGGTGGGGCTGTTACTCAAAGTCTGGGAGCTGACCAGGAACCAGCATCTGTGTGGATGTGGAATGGGATTCCGGCTGACTGATCTTAGGTGGACAGTCTTGTGCAGGTGCCTGTCTTGCCACAGAAGCCATGAAGAAAACAACAGAGGTGACACGGGGAAGCAGAGACTGTGGCCAGCAGGCAACCATGCATGGGCCACAGCAAGGAATACCCACTCAGTTGCACCTTGGTGGTTGAGTATGACTGGGAACGGGTGTGCGTGATTTAAATGCCAAATGCTCTCACTGACCAGGTCTGTGCTTTCTTCCCTTTCCAGGGAAAAGACCTGAGATGAGCAAAGTGGCTCCTGGGGG